AGAACAAGAATACTGAATTCTCAAATAGTGATTGATACAATTTGAATAAAAATACTCACTGGTTAAGTTTTTTTTTATCCCGGATGAAAAACATCCTTTTACAAGATTACACATGCATGTATAACAACATCCGCGTTTTACTCTCTTGAACCCAAACAATGAGATCTCTGTAAATATCACACAACAGGTCCTGTGTACTATATTAAACTTTCATCCCAGAAATAAAGTAAGTTTATCATCCAAAACTGTGTTCCACTGGAGATATTGATTGTGTGAGATCAAACGAATCTCCTAGGAGATATCATTTTGAAATTAGATTATGTACAATGCCCTGACAATGCTACGACGTCATCAAGTTGATGACATCATAATGCTATGACATCGCTGCACTGCACTGCAACACTCGTTGATAAAGTTAAAATATCCTTGGCAAGCCTTGGGATATTTGTAACTTTATCAACTCATGTTGATATAATTGATATCAGGAGACACTTGGGTGAGATTCTCTATTTATTTGAAATTTTATTTTTACTAAATGTATATTTGATAACCAATCAGAACCCTGGACTAATCTAAATTTGAAATCATTCTTGGCATGAGCTGGACTCCTTGCTGGATTTATTTATTGTGTTGAGTTTTTGTATAAATTATTGCTCCATGATAATAGTCTAAGGTCTGGGTATCATTGTACACAATCACCTCATGTACCTAAACTTCCGACAGTGGTAGCGCCAAGGTTGTTTTGTACAACGGCACTCTGGGAGACAGACAACCTGTTCCCCTGTATCTGTGGCATCACTCACTAATGGATGTGCCAGTTGCCATGTGGTGTATATTGTGGGGAGCATCAGAGGGTGTATCTGGTGGTAACAGACTCCAGATGGTCTTGATGTAAGACAGCCATGGTATCTCCTCCCTCCAGCTACATGCTGCTGTAAATAAACACACCATAGAGACTTACACAGTTGTTGTGGCATTGAGGTCAGGGAGAGTACCGTATTGGGTGTAATTAGTGGGTTGATGATTGGGTTATATATACCATAGAGACTTACACAGTTGTTGTGGCATTGAGGTCAGGGAGAGTACCGTATTGGGTGTAATTAGTGGGTTGATGATTGGGTTATATATACCATAGAGACTTACACAGTTGTTGTGGCATTGAGGTGAGGTAGAGCACCCGTGTGGGTGTAATTAGTGGGTTGATGATTGGGTTATATATACCATAGAGACTTACACAGTTGTTGTGGCCTTGAGGTCAGGGAGGGTACCGTATTGGGTGTAATTAGTGGGTGGATGATTGGGTTATATATACCATAGAGACTTACACAGTTGTTGTGGCATTGAGGTCAGGGAGAGTACCGTATTGGGTGTAATTAGTGGGTTGATGATTGGGTTATATACCATAGAGACTTACACAGTTGTTGTTGCCTTGAGGTCAGGGGAGTCAGTGTATTGGGTGTAATTAGTGGGTTGATGATTGGGTTATATATACCATAGAGACTTACACAGTTGTTGTGGCATTGAGGTCAGGAGGGTACCGTGATTGGGTGTAATTAGTGGGTGGATGATTGGGTTATATATACCATAGAAACTTACACAGTTGTTGTGGCATTGAGGTCAGGAGTCAGGTACCGTATTGGGTGTAATTAGTGGGTGGATGATTGGGTTATATATACCATAGAGACTTACACAGTTGTTGTGGCATTGAGGTCAGGGAGAATACCGTATTGGGTGTAATTAGTGGGTGGATGATTGGGTTATATATACCATAGAGACTTACACAGTTGTTGTGGCATTGAGGTCAGGGAGGGTACCGTATTGGGTGTAATTAGTGGGTGGATGATTGGGTTATATATACCATAGAGACTTACATAGTTGTTGTGGCATTGAGGTCAGGTAGAGTACCGTATTGGGTGTAATTAGTGGGTTGATGATTGGGTTATATATACCATAGAGACCTACACAGTTGTTGTGGCCTTGAGGTCAGGTAGAGTACCGTATTGGGTGTAATTAGTGGGTTGATGATTGGGTTATATATACCATAGAGACTTACACAGTTGTTGTGGCATTGAGGTCAGGGAGAGTACCGTATTGGGTGTAATTAGTGGGTTGATGATTGGGTTATATATACCATAGAGACTTACACAGTTGTTGTGGCATTGAGGTCAGGGAGAGGGTACCGGGTGATTGGGTGTAATTAGTGGGTTGATGATTGGGTTATATATACCATAGAGACTTACACAGTTGTTGTGGCATTGAGGTCAGGTAGAGTACCGTATTGGGTGTAATTAGTGGGTTGATGATTGGGTTATATATACCATAGAGACTTACACAGTTGTTGTGGCATTGAGGTCAGGTAGAGTACCGTATTGGGTGTAATTAGTGGGTTGATGATTGGGTTATATATACCATAGAGACTTACACAGTTGTTGTGGCATTGAGGTCAGGGAGAGTACCGTATTGGGTGTAATTAGTAGGTGGATTATTGGGTAGTTAGAAAATATATATACCATACAGACTTACACATTGAGGTCAGAGTGAGTACCGTTTTGAATGTAATTAGTGGCTGGGGGTTTGGTAAAGGTAAGTATGATGATTCGGTGGTTAGAACAGATAATACACCTTAGAGACTTACACTGTTTGTGTGGCATGGAGGTGAGGGTGATTACTGTAGTTGATGTAATAAGTGGCTGGATGTTTGGTAAATTTGATGTTTGTCATAGGTGGTTAGTATATATAAATACACCATGGAGACTTACAAAGTTGTGGCACATAGTGTCAGGTAGAGTACAGTATTTAGTGTTATTAGTGTCTGATGGTCTATAAAATGGTACTGATAGTGATTGGGTGTACATAAATACACCATATGGACTTGTGGCATGAAGGTCAGGAAGATTATCATCTTTGGTGTAATTGGTGTCTGAATGTTTGGTAGAGGCAATTATGGTGATAAGGTGGTTCTAGGATATATGAATGCACCATATGGACATACAAAGTCATATGGCATTAAGGTCAGGTAGGTTATCGTATTTGGTGTAACTGGTGTCTGAATGTTTGGTAGAGGCAATTATGGTGATAAGGTGGTTCTAGGATATATGAATGCACCATATGGACATACAAAGTCGTATGGCATTAAGGTCAGGTAGGTTATCGTATTTGGTGTAATTGGTGTCTGAATGTTTGGTAAAGGCAATTATGGTGATAAGGTGGTTCCAGGATATATATATATATATATATATATACACCATATGGACATACAAAGTCGTATGGCATTAAGGTCAGGTAAGTTATCGTATTTGGTGTAATTGGTTTCTGAATGTTTGGTAGAGGCAATTATGGTGATAAGGTGGTTCCAGGGTATATATATATATATACACCATATGGACATACAAAGTCGTTATGGCATTAAGGTCAGGTAGGTTATCATATGTGGTTACATTAGGATGAGGATGCTTGGTAAAGGTAACTATGGTGATTCTGTGGTTAGAAGAGATAAACACACCGTAGAAACTAACAAAGTTGTTTTGGCATGTATGGTTAGGTAGACTACCGTATTGGGTGTAATTAGTGTCAGGATATATGCTACAGGTAATTATGATAATTCAGTGGTTAGCATATATAAACACAAGACCAGACAAAGATGTTGTGGAAAATAAGGTTAGGTAGAGTAGAGGCTCTGGAGTCTAATGGTTAGAGTGCTTGACTACTGAACTAGAGGCCATGAGTTTGATTCCTGTCATTCTTAATGCAAAAGATTCAAATCTTGTCTTCAAGTTAAGAACATTGGCATTTGAAACACTGAGTCCAAAGTTTACTTGCAACTCAACCCCTAAGGTTATATTAGGAAAGGGGAAACATCTGAAGATGTTATTTTTAAAATAACATATATACCATCCATAACAATGATTAATACCCATGATAGATTTGTTTATATGGCTTGTCTGTGCCAAAGATGTTTTTTGAAGCATCTGATCAACGTTTGATGAGCCTGACTGCTGTTCCTGGTACAGGACAGGGAGAATGTTTTTTGTGTCAGACGAAGACATGAAGAATATGTTTAAGTCTGTGATGAACAGATGGTACACAGACATATATGCAGGAAGATAGCATATACAACTCTAGCCGTAGTGTTAGGTGTACAGACCATCCTGTCTTAGGGCCCAAAGGGGGAACGGCAGTGGTGTTCTTAATGGCTCCTGATTGCAAATTCTTGAGATTCCATTTATCTAAACACAGATGTATGATGTGATTTAAGAAAGGCCTGATGGTTGTGTTTATTTAGATCCTTTATCCAGGATATAACAGTGTCTAATTTACTTTTCTTACTCAAATTTACTTTTGAAGTAAGCCCTGAGCCCATGGTGACTTAAACTAGTGGGACATTTGCCATTGTAGGTGGGTCATCAGAAAATACAAGGGAGACAATGCATTCACTCTGCAATTTTACTGAACTTGTCATTCAAATAGCTGTTCAGTTGTATGAATTAAAGTGTTAATTTAAACACTGTTGGTTTGGCCAACTATTATCTTCTAACTTTGTCTGTTTTCATTTTGAGTCAGTAAAAATAGAAAACAGTGACTGTTACAGTCACTTTGGTAATACTGAGCACTGAGTAAGTTTATGGTCAGCACTATCAGTGTGTCTCTTGAGCGTAGAAGTATTCAGTTCCATCAGTGAAAACGTTATGTTTTCATTTTTCAGACAAAGTGCATAAGTCATTTTGTTTTTACACTCATTATACAGAACCCACGGATACAGACCTTCACATTTCTTTTGGAACGTCGGTCGGTGTGTCCTTGGCTTGACAGCAGCAGACGAGTTTTCACCCAAGTCATGACTGAATTTATCTTAAAGACTCCAGGGAATTTATGTTTCTAACACACTAGTCATCCTTTAAAGATGCCAAATTGGCAAATGCATTTTGTCGAGTTTGCAAAAAAAAACCCAACTTTCGGATAGGTTGTTTCTAATTACTGATGGGGTTCATGTTTTGTTTCAGTTGCCCATGGAGACAGAGGTCTACTACATTCAACATATTCTGATGCTTGTCATACCATTTTACCTCTTGAAGACTGGAGGTAGGTGTCCTAGAACAGCATATGCTGATGCTTGTCATACCATTTTACCTCTTGAAGACTGGAGGTAGGTGTACTGGAACAGCATATGCTAGTGCTTGTCATACCATTTTACCTTGAAGACTGGAGGTAGGTGTACTAGAACAGCATATGCTGATGCTTGTCATACAATTTTACCTCTTGAAGACTGGAGGTAGGTGTACTAGAACAGCATATGCTGATGCTTGTCATACAATTTTACCTCTGGAAGACTGGAGGTGGGTGTCCTAGAACAGCATATGCTGATGCTTGTCATACCATTTTACCTCTTGAAGATTGGAGGTAGGTGTCCTAGAACAGCATATGCTGATGCTTGTCATACCATTTTACCTCTTGAAGACTGGAGGTAGGTGTACTGGAACAGCATATGCTGGTGCTTGTCATACCATTTTACCTTGAAGACTGGAGGTAGGTGTCCTAGAACAGCATATGCTGATGCTTGTCATACCATTTTACCTCTTGAAGACTGGAGGTAGGTGTACTGGAACAGCATATGCTGATGCTTGTCATACCATTTTACCTCTTGAAGACTGGAGGTAGGTGTCCTAGAACAGCATATGCTGATGCTTGTCATACCATTTTACCTCTTGAAGATTGGAGGTAGGTGTCCTATAGCAGCATATCCTGGTGCTTGTCATACCATTTTACCTCTTGAAGACTGGAGGCCTCACTCTGTACTTACCTACCCTGATCAACTGATCGAGAAGCTCTGTTACAACTGATAAGCAGTGAAAATAACATATTTTGATTCCAAGTTTGTTTAATTACTGTTAAGTGGCAAGTCAATGGATCAGTCAGACTGGGAGACTTAGTTGATAGCATGTCATCGTGGATTAACCATGGGACTTGGCTCATAACATCAATTGCTTAACTGAATTATTTACAACATGCTGTTATTGAGGTGGGTTAGTATGTGGGGCAATATAGAACAAACTTTATGGATAGCAACTTCTTTTTATTCGTGAGTGCGACGTTTCGATACAGATTCTTGTACCGTTGTCAAGCATTATTCTTGTACCGTTGTCAAGCGTTAGTATGTGGGGCTTCAACAACAATCTGTGGGACATTGTAGGACTGTAATGATCCCTCCTTGTGTGTGTGACATGGTCCATGTTGTGGTTTCAGGAGCATACATTCCAGAGAACATCCTGGACTTCACATGGGGCTTCATGTCCCTGGGCATCCTCTACATCTACCACTTCGTGCCCCTCCAGCTGCTGGCTTATGTGAGTATCAGGGGTCAGGGTGGCTCGAGCAGCCGACAGTTGTGGGTGTCTCCTTCAGGGGTCAGTTGTGGGTGTTTCCTTCAGGTGTCAGTTGTGGGTGCTTCCTTCAGGGGTCAGTTGTGGGTGTCTCCTTCAGGGGTCAGTTGTGGGTGTCTCCTTCAGGGGTCAGTTGTGTCTCCTTCAGGGTTCAGTCCTGGTGCCTCCTTCAGGGGCCTTTTGTGGGTGTCTCCTTCAGGGGTCAGTTGTGTGTGTCTCCTTCAGGGGTCAGTTGTGTGTGTCTCCTTCAGGGGTCAATTGTGTGTGTCTCCTTCAGGGGTCAGTTGTGGGTGTCTCCTTCAGGGTTCAGTCCTGGTGCCTCCTTCAGGGGCCTTTTGTGGGTGTCTCCTTCAGGGGTCAGTTGTGTGTGTCTCCTTCAAGGGTCAGTTGTGGGTGTCTCCTTCAGGGGTCAGTTGTGGGTGTCTCCTTGCAGGGTCAGTAGTTGGTGTCTCCTTGAGGGGTCAGTTGTGGTGTCTCCTTCAGGGTTCAGTCCTGGTGCCTCCTTGAGGGGTCAGTTGTGGGTGTCTCCTTCAAGGGTCAGTTGTGGGTGTCTCCTTCAGGGGTCAGTTGTGGGTGTCTCCTTCAGGGATCAGTTGTGGGTGTCTCCTGCAGGGATCAGTTGTGGGTGTCTCCTTCAGGGGTCAGTTGTGGGTGTTTCCTTCAGGTGTCAGTTGTGGGTGCTTCCTTCAGGGGTCAGTTGTGGGTGTCTCCTTCAGGGGTCAGTTGTGGGTGTCTCCTTCAGGGGTCAGTTGTGTCTCCTTCAGGGTTCAGTCCTGGTGCCTCCTTCAGGGGCCTTTTGTGGGTGTCTCCTTCAGGGGTCAGTTGTGTGTGTCTCCTTCAGGGGTCAATTGTGTGTGTCTCCTTCAGGGGTCAATTGTGTGTGTCTCCTTCAGGGGCCGGTTGTGGGTGTCTCCTTCAGGGGTCAGTTGTGGGTGTCTCCTTCAGGGGTCAGTTGTGGGTGTTTCCTTCAGGGGTCAGTTGTGGGTGTCTCCTTCAGGGGTCAGTTGTGGGTGTCTTCCTTCAGGGGTCAGTTGTGGGTATCTCCTTCAGGGGTCAGTTTTGGGTGTCTCCTTCAGGGGCCGGTTGTGGGTGTCTCCTTCAGGGGTCAGTTGTGGGTGTTTCCTTCAGGGGTCAGTTGTGGGTGTCTCCTTCAGGGGTCAGTTGTGGGTGTCTTCCTTCAGGGGTCAGTTGTGGGTATCTCCTTCAGGGGTCAGTTTTGGGTGTCTCCTTCAGGGGCTGGTTGTGGGTGTCTCCTTCAGGGCCAGCTGTGGGTGTCTCCTTCAGGGGTCAGTTGTGTGTCTCCTTCAGGGGTCAGTTGTGTGTGTCTCCTTCAGGGGTCAATTGTGGGTGTCTCCTTCAGGGGTCAGTTTTGGGTGTCTCCTTCAGGGGCCGGTTGTGGGTGTCTCCTTCAGGGCCAGCTGTGGGTATCTCCTTCAGGGGTCAGTTGTGGGTGTCTCCTTCAGGGGTCAGTTGTGGGTGTTTCCTTCAAGAGACAGTTGTTGATGTTTCCTTCAGGGGCCGGTTGTGGGTGTCTCCTTCAGGGGTCAGTTGTGTGTGTCTCCTTCAGGGGTCAGTTGTGGGTGTCTCCTTCAGGAGTCAGTTGTTATTAACCCTGTCTGTTGTAAGAGTATGTAATGATTTGTCATGTGGATTGTTTGGCTGCTTTACTGATAATTAATGTAAAGCACCAGTATGTTTGTTCCATTTTTTTCCCAACCAGACATATATAAAATCACAGGCATCCTAAAATCAGCCAGCAAGAATGAATCGGTTAATGACGATATCTTCTTCATGACTGACTCATCGACGCTCTCATTCACTCTCCCCTCTGATCATGCCAGTACTACTTATGGAAGCAGTGTTTTTCATCATGTTTATTTATATGTTTCCAGTTCTCTACAGTCAACCTGAACAACATGCTCTGTCCTGCTGTGTCTGACCCTTTCCACGGACCCTATTATCGACTGTGCGCTCTCACTCACCAAACAATCCTCATACCATGCCTCGGAAAAGTTTATGTTCTAATTGCCAATCATCTACCAGTGTGGCGAGCACAGTCGAAAAAACATATACAGGAAGTGAGCTGCTGGGAAGGGAGCAACACCAAGTATCCTCACCAAAGTAATCATGCAAGGGGAGATCACTCTTCCCCAAGGGGAGATAACTCTCACCAACAGCGATTGAATGGACATGTAAAGACATCATGAACTCATGTTTTTGCATTGATGTTGTCCTGTTTACATTTGTTTTACAATCATCACTTGTAATTTTAATGTGTTTAATATATTTAACATCATGTCTTGCTCACTTTTAATGTGTTAACAGTTCATATGGTTTATCTTGTTAAAGAATTCATTGATTACATTTTTTCCTCATTCTCGTACATAGTTGAATATTTCTATGATTTTTTGTTGCAAACTTCATTCTTATTTGAATTCCTCTGTATTGCAGATTATATTTAATTTGGGTATTAATACTTAATTGTTGACAATTGAAAATTGTATAAATATTCATAAATTATAAGTCGTTTTTTAACCTAAGCCATAATTTAAAGTTGTCCAATGTCACAGTCTAATGCACTAGTATTCCATTGGGGCGATTCATCAGTTAGGAAGAACATCAATTTATCATTCAGCGCTTGACAGGTACAGCCTTCTGGGTAAGCTAGTCACTGTGATTCTCTTCCCTTGGTGCCGGCAATGTTTGGTACAAGGCTTGACAGGTGCAGCCTTCTGGGTAAGCTAGTCACTGTGATTCTCTTCCCTTGGTGCCGGCAATGTTTGGTACAAGGCATGACAGGTGCAGCCTTCTGGGTAAGCTAGTCACTGTGATTCTCTTCCCTTGGTGCCGGCAATGTTTGGTACAAGGCTTGACAGGTACAGCCTTCTGGGTAAGCTAGTCACTGTGATTCTCTTCCCTTGGTGCCGGCAATGTTTGGTACAAGGCTTGACAGGTGCAGCCTTCTGGGTAAGCTAGTCACTGTGATTCTCTTCCCTTGGTGCCGGCAATGTTTGGTACAAGGCTTGACAGGTGCAGCCTTCTGGGTAAGCTAGTCACTGTGATTCTCTTCCCTTGGTGCGGCAATGTTTGGTACAAGGCTTGACAGGTGCAGCCTTCTGGGTAAGCTAGTCACTGTGATTCTCTTCCCTTGGTGCCGGCAATGTTTGGTACAAGGCATGACAGGTACAGCCTTCTGGGTAAGCTAGTCACTGTGATTCTCTTCCCTTGGTGCCGGCAATGTTTGGTACAAGGCTTGACAGGTACAGCCTTCTGGGTAAGCTAGTCACTGTGATTCTCTTCCCTTGGTGCCGGCAGTGTTTGGTACAAGGCATGACAGGTACAGCCTTCTGGGTAAGCTAGTCACTGTGATTCTCTTCCCCTGGTGCCGGCAATGTTTGGTACAAGCATGACAGGTACAGCCTTCTGGGTAAGCTAGTCACTGTGATTCTCTTCCCTTGGTGCCGGCAATGTTTGGTACAAGCATGACAGGTACAGCCTTCTGGGTAAGCTAGTCACTGTGATTCTCTTCCCTTGGTGCCGGCAATGTTTGGTACAAGCATGACAGGTACAGCCTTCTGGGTAAGCTAGTCACTGTGATTCTCTTCCCTTGGTGCCGGCAATGTTTGGTACAAGCATGACAGGTACAGCCTTCTGGGTAAGCTAGTCACTGTGATTCTCTTCCCTTGGTGCCGGCAATGTTTGGTACAAGCATGACAGGTACAGCCTTCTGGGTAAGCTAGTCACTGTGATTCTCTTCCCTTGGTGCCGGCAATGTTTGGTACAAGCATGACAGGTACAGCCTTCTAGGTAAGCTAGTCACTGTGATTCTCTTCCCTTGGTGCCGGCAATGTTTGGTACAAGCATGACAGGTACGGCCTTCTGGGTAAGCTAGTCACTGTGATTCTCTTCCCTTGGTGCCGGCAATGTTTGGTACAAGCATGACAGGTACAGCCTTCTGGGTAAGCTAGTCACTGTGATTCTCTTCCCTTGGTGCCGGCAATGTTTGGTACAAGGCTTGACAGTCATGGTTCCTTGATAGAATTACGCATGGAGTCATCTCTCTCTTCAAATACTACAGGAGTAAACCTGAAGCACCCATGGTCGCCACTTAATTTCTAAGTGAATTTGTCTTCTCTGGCATAGTGTACAACTGCAAAACTAACAGAATAGTGAACCTGAAGCACCCATGGTCGCCACTTAGTTTCTAAGTGAATTTGTCTTCTCTGGCATAGTGTACAACTGCAAAACTAACAGAATAGTGAACCTGAAGCACCCATGGTCGCCACTTAATTTCTAAGTGAATTTGTCTTCTCTGGCATAGTGTACAACTGCAAAACTAACAGAATAGTGAACCTGAAGCACCCATGGTCACCACTTAGTTTCTAAGTGAATTTGTCTTCTCTGGCATAGTGTACAACTGCAAAACTAACAGAATAGTGAACCTGAAGCACCCATGGTCGCCACTTAATTTCTAAGTGAATTTGTCTTCTCTGCCATAGTATACAACAGTTAAGTTAACAGAATACTTTTCCAGTAATGAATCAGGTAGTTTTCAACAGAAGAGATGTGCGGAATGTTTCATTTACATTCACACATGATTTCCAGAACGATTTGTGTCTTTACAGTTTGTACAGTATATACTTAACTTCAGCTAAACTAAACAAACAAACAATTAGGGTCATGAAATATTTTTATAAACCATACTCTATAGAAGGAACCAGGGCTACAGATAAGGGGCGTAGAGGCGTAATGTACGCCTCAAAATCAATTAGTATGACATAATATAAGATTATGTGTACGCACATAAATACTTTTGTACGTCTAACATTTAATTTCCGTGCGTATCGTGCAAATGGAAATCTGTTTCGGATAAATACTTGTCAAGTTTCTTTTGCGAAACACCATTTGACACATGAGGAAATCACGACAGTATTTATATCCAGTCTGACCTGACATTTCGCGCCTCACACTGTCGCTCAGTTATTTCTCACGCATCTTCAAATACAAATACATGGTTGGAAATAGTGATCGATGAATCGTCCAGACAAACCACGTCACCAACTCGCTCACACAAAAACATGTCAGTACTCCTTCAAAATTCTCAGTACATCTCCATTTGCAATATGATGTTTAAGTACACTCACACCCCCAAAAGTTATCTGGAGCCCTGGGAACTCTTCCCTCCAAAAATATATCCGAAAAATATTCATGATTCTTAACACTTTTTGTACTTTGTAATACAGTATGTATTGACATATAATCTAGATCAGACAGGAAATCACCGTTGACACATGTAGTATGTTCCCGAGTCAGGAGAGATAGTTTTAGAAGAAACCGAAAAGAGGTTTTCCATGCAATGGACATCATCTTGTCTCCCTGACAGATGCTTGTCATTCACATTATCCGTTCAAAATACATTTTGTCAGACTTTTCAATTTGGTGTCTGTAGGTCCAGGAATAAAACAGAGAGGTTATCATCGATGTTTTAAATACAGAGGGTAGTTGTAGTGAATTGTGAACTACGACTTAGTTGACATGAAATTTCCACATTTTTTGGATATTTTTTTGTTACTTTTCTTTACACATTGACCGAATGTTTCATCCTTAAACTTACATTTTCCTTATGATCAGTGATTAATCTGATCATGTTCATTATTATTCTGATTATTTGTTTGGTACAATTATTATTATCATTATTACTAATCAGGATATTTGTGGTTTTAAATTCCAGAATAAGGAAACCCTACTTTCAGTTTTCTTGCACATTTAATGTTTGTTCCTAACTGTGTACCAGTGTCAGTACATAATCAGTGTATGAAATAAGTCAAAATCCCTCAGGGCTGTTAACTTCAAATTGTTACCAGCCGAAAATGGATTTAACCACACCAAACACCAAAATATGGTGAATTTACTCAAATTTACTTAATTTTTTACCAGACCATCAGGCTGGCTAGCTGTAAATTTAGACCATCCGTCAGAAATCTAGTCCTTCTCGTGCGGTCAGATGGGCCTTATTTCATCCACTGACATTATGGAGAAAGCACTGTTGGCAGTGAATGTATTCTTATATTCATGTTGCTATTCAAACAACTTCTATCTGTGTTCCTCAAGCCTCTTGTATGAATCGTCTCTTGCTGATCGTTGTTTCAGAAAGTAATCTTAGCGCTAAGACCGAAGTAAGCCCAGTCAATAATCACCTATGGCAGCTCAGATGATTATTATTAGGGGTGAAAGGGTATCCAGCGATATTAGTATAACCGTGGTATTTTGCCTTCAGTTCGGCATACCGTAATGCAATCCAAAAATTCGGTATTTTCGGTTTTCCTACCATTCTTCTATCTAGTCATTATGTGACAGTTTTGTTCATTCAAAATAACAGAGGCTATGGGTACTTTTTTTCCCATGTTATGAAACAATGTAAGGTTTAGCTCTTGATGTCAATTTTCTGCATTATGATCACATCTTATATACCGGACCGAACCGAAGCCTTGTACCGCGTTATGTACTGTGCCGTGGTATGAGCGTACAGTGTCACCCCCAGTTATTATTCTCATTAACAACCACTACAATGATTATCAGATAGGCAACTATTAAGATAATCATTGTTCCTGGGAAAAAAACTGCTAAGATGATAATGTCACATAAAAGACCCTGCTAAGATGATAATGTCACGTAAAAGACCACTAAGAAATTTGTTCCTCCCATAAACGATCACTACGGGGATTAACATAACTTCCATAAACAACCACTGAGTTGATAATAACTAATAAGGCTGCCAAAATGATTAATTTTACTCCGATTTATGACCACTAAGATAGACATAATTGATTATCATTACTACCACTAACAACTGTTAAGGTGATCATGACTTGTATACACATCAGCCAAAATGATGAACAAAATCCCTAATAATGACCACTTAGTAACATAAACAATCTCTAAATCCATCATAAGTCCATTTACAAACCACAAGGTGATAATCGTCTCAGCAAACATGGATGATAATCATAACTACCATGACCGCTAAGATAATTAATGCAGTACCCAATAGATATATGTTGTGGATCTCACGGTGGCTGCGCGGGTTAGACGGCTGACTCTTTGTGCTGGCGATTAGGTGCCTGACTCTGAGAGAGTGGGTTCGAATCCCAGATGGGACTCAACCCAACAAAAGTACTAGAATCTGTACTTTACTAAGAAAGTGTAATCCCACCACTTTCTAAATGGCACTGTGTATTCATAAATATATGTTAAGTCAAGTTAATAACTGCTTAGATAATATAACTCCTAGAAACTATTATGGCCCGCTCAGATTATAGTAAGTGCCACAGACATCGACTTATGTAACACTGACTTAGCGCTAAGATCACTTATGGAATGGGAGCTATGTTTCTAGTCCTGGTGTAAGAAAGTTCATTGTCACAGACTGCCAGATATTCATCTCTTGAATCAAATTCAGGGTTGAGTTGTTTTATAATCAGCAATATTATCATGTTTACAGTGGCCTGCAACGAGTTCAGCATGGACTAGACAAACCAGTGATTGATAGAATGAGTAATAATGCAGAACAGAGGTCACAGTGTGACGAGATTTCATACAGTGAAGGAAACTAAGTATCTAAGTCAACGGGTCCATGTCTCCTCCTGAATGTTGAAATTTTAAATATTTAGGGGAGCATGGATTCAAATACTGAGCAGTAAACATCCAAATAGCCTGAAGATCCCCCTTAATTTTTAACACTGACACGCTGACCACATTCCATTTCTGCATGAGACACAGACTTTCATATATTAAGTGGTCATTTTGTTTCGTACTGGCACTTTTCACTGATGTAGGGCTTGACTTAAAGCCTTTTCAAATAGTTTTTTCAAATGCATTTTTCCCTAGACTTTGTTTTGTTCATTTAATGAGGGCATTTTTAGAAGAGGTGCTTGAGGTAGAGGGGATATAGGTAATGAAATTAAGAATTGTGTACAGCAATGCACGCTTCCTTATGAAGACGGGTTTTGATCAGGTCTATTCTGGTCAGTTTCATGACCAGATAAAAATGTAAAGTTTGCATATGTTCATCAACATATTAGGCCTATTGTAATAAAAATTACAGTGGATTGGTAGTCATTTCATACATAATTTAATATTTTTGATGCAGACAAAATATTTCTGTTGGGATTGTGAAAATCATCAGGAAAGTTGAAAATGGGATCAAAGAAATTACTATGGTGGATGATAGGAATGAGATTAATGCATTTTCTTTAGTCGGAATATGTATGTGACAATCTTAGCTCAGTATGTCTTGTCATACAACTATTTGGTATCCATTTTTTTTCACCACTTTTAAGTCAATTGACTGAAAGTCAAGTGACATTATGGCATGGCATGGATGTTGCTTTTTCTGCCTCTCAATCATCCTCGTTGTCCTCTCAGAAACTGTTGGACCTATGAGATATATGCTTGATGGATTTGTTGGGTGAGTGAGTTTAGTTTAACGTCTCTTTTAGCAATATTCCAGCAATATCACGATATAAGGCACCAGAAATGGGCTTCACACATTGTACCCATGTGGAGAATCGTACCTCGGTCTTCAATTTGACACTAGGCTACCCATATGCCCTTGATTGGTTAGTCTCTACCAAGGAAAAGTCTGCAGCTATGAAGAATTGTTTTTTAGTTATTTGGGCAGTTGCATGTCAGTAAATACATCTGTTCATTGGCCAAATTTTGAATTATGACCATTTGACCTTGACACATTGTCCATTTGATGAAATTTTCAAAATTCATTCTGGGCAGTGGTAAAATCTTCTGTCTTACGAGTGAATTGACTAACATGCCTTTAACTTTCTAATGATGCAGTTCATAGATCTCTATGATTTTATTGTTGCAATTATAAAATTCATAACATTCCAATAACAGAAACTAGTTCAGAGCTTGATATTTTGATACTTATCATTTCCATGTACAGATATTTTATGTACTGGGTAGATGTTTGTTACAACAATGGGAATAAATTTTATGTGTAGCATTAAGCTGATTAAAATTGAAAGTTTATCTGTATATTGCAAGTATTCAGTGTACCATGTTGATTTATAACCAGGTTGGAATGTAATGGCAGGTTGAGAGTTGGACCTCAGTATTGCAGATGGAATGGTCCAGTGGTTAAAGTCTTTGCTCATCATGTTAAAGACACAAGTTGAATTCCACGGTATAGTGTGTGTAGCCCTTTTCTAGTGTCCCCTGCCGTGATATTGCTAAAAGTGGCGTAAAACCATACATGATCACTTATGCCTTGCAGGGGCCCAATCCACAAAATGTTTGTAGTGCCTTGCTATTCGTAAGCCTATAATAAAGTATAGAGTAACAGTAACATGTGGTGTGTGGTCCTGTGCATAGAGCTCAGGTCACGAATCAGTTGAAGTTAAGCAACGTTGGGCGCGGAGAGTCCTTGGATGGGTGACCGTGTTTGGCAGCTTGACTCCTGAGAGTTTCCAGGACTTCAGTCCTACCCCACAATGAAGCAGACAATGGGTACCCAGTGGGATAAATCATGTGACTATTAACCTTCTAGCGCCTTACAGGAAGCTTGGGTTATATGCGGTAATAATAATCAGATTGTGTTTCTGCGCTTTGCAGCTTCAGAGCCAGGACACTTACTTTTGTTTCAGCATCATAAGATTTTCACTGGTTATATTGCACTCAAGTAGACTTGCTCTCAACACCCTTGTAAGATACTGGTGTCTGTAAAACCGATGTTAGTACAGATATTTACATGTGCAATATGTAGGAATATTTATGTTGTATAACAGTGTATTGAGGAAAGGAATGAGTTGTCATGGTTACATTGTTGATTGCATTGAGATTATTACCTGTATTAAATGAGAATAAAGCATTCCCATCCTCTTCAGTCCTGGTTAGTAGTATTTGTGTCCCCCTGAATCCCTGTGTCAGCTGATGTCTACCGCTGTATGAGCTTTGACCTTTCATAACATTTTCGTACATACAAAACGACGTACAACAGTTAATTGAAGAAGTGAGCAAGTATTAGCTTGAATCAGACACAATAACTGGAAATAAATCATCAATGATGCAACACCCATCACAAGGTTGAAATTTTTACAGCCAGACATGGTTTGTTGTTCAACTCCACACTAAACATAGTATGATATGGGCTTGAATATAATTTTCTGTTTATTACCGAAGCCGTCAAATTGAGGAAAATAAACCCAAATCTACTTTCTAACATAGGCTGACTACCCGCTGAGAACGTCATAGAAGAAACGTGACATCATAGCATTGTTCATGTCAAAGTGATGTTTTGCCCTAGGGCATCGTATGAAAAATATTAACCCCGATATTTGCGCCCTTGAAGGTAATAAAGACCAGGAACCGATTTCTCGAAACAAACTCAAGTTTTTACTCAAATTACAAACTGAGTCGGACAATTTGAAACGGCTGAATTTTTAACTCAAATGCATTATTTAAATAAAAAGCCCAAACAACTTAAGTAATGTATCCACCAAACTCAATTCGTCTACTATGTTTGAGTTTAATATCAATTTTACTTCATTCTGGGAAATACATTTTCTCAAATTTGAGTAAAAACTCACTTAAGTCGAAACTAAGACTTAAGTTTGTTTCGAGAAATCGGGGCCAGTTCTAACCCTGATCTTCACAGGTTGTCTGATCTTCAGTGGTGTGAAAACCTCTGAGGCAATTGTAACTCTGGTACCAAACAGACTTACATTTCTCATGTTTCATGTACAAAGCCACAACAAATTCAAAGAACACGAGACAGGACTTTATACATCTTTGCTCATAATGGACCCAAAAGGGGTCAGCTGCATCCACATTTTAACCTGCAAAGTTCCAAATCCTTGACTGACCAGAAATACCAACATCAAAGGTAAACAGCAGTGAGATTTATTTGTAAAAGATGTTATAATTACATGACGGTGTTTTTGCTTTTCAAAACAACATATTTCAGACATCTACAGTGCTGACGCCAGACTGCGTAATCGCGGGATTCCTGCAAATTGTACTTATCTTGGCGCTTTATTAATATATGTATGCACCAATAATGGCTCAAATTTATAGTTTATACCACATTTTTACATATCGGGTGCATACTTCATTTGAAAAAAAGAAGAATTTTCATTGGAAGCGATGTCAAACACTTGGAGATCAAAATCAAAATATTGAAACTTCCAGAAGTCAAAATGAGGCTTCCTAAGCTCTGCATATTGCTTGTATGTCTATTTGCATATGCCCCTGTAAGGAGCATGTGTAAGATGAAGGTAATGAAGGGGCAAGGAATAGCCCAGAAACGTGTATACAATAAAGAAGAAGTTGACATCCATAATATGTTGTCTTATACATGTACTTGAATACCAACTTCTATATGCCCCTCAAGAACCTTGTATGGAGCCAGTTTCGCTGTACGGAGCTCAACTTGATAGTTTATCATAGTGTTGTCACTTTTGTTTAGTGGCCCACATTTTCTAAAGGTAGGGGCCAACTGGCCCAGTCCAAGGAAATCCTGGCTGCAGCCATGCATCTACTATCTGAGTCATCACTTCTTATACATATTGATCCTCCATCTTGGCCACACAATCCCTTATACTTTGAACCTTTCTATTCAAGGTATCTGTCCAAAATGAAATCCTGCCTGGAACTAATGATGATGATGATGATGATGCACAGACAGGGCTATGTAACAAATATTTTCTGTGCCCCTAAATTTTTCCATGTGATCCCTTGGGTCATTGAGTTGCCTGTACCAGACGCCATCTTGTTCACCATCACAGCGCTTCCCCTTCCAGCTTCTTCTTCCTCATCGCACTCAGCTTCTGTAACCACCTCTGCATCTTTTCCTCAGGATCTCCATGCAACTGAATGATAACAAAAAACAATATAGGATATTTCACTCACGCAACTGAATGATAACAAAAAACAATATAGGATATTTCACTCACGCAACTGAATGATAACAAAAAACAATATAGGATATTTCACTCATGCAACTGAATGATAACAAAAACAATATAGGATATTTCACTCACGCAACTGAATGATAACAAAACACAATATAGGATATTTCACTCACGCAACTGAATGATAACAAAAAACAATATAGGATATTTCACTCACGCAACTGAATGATAACAAAAACAATATAGGATATTTCACTCACGCAACTGAATGATAACAATAAACAATATAGGATATTTCACTCATGCAACTGAATGATAACAAAACAATATAGGATATTTCACTCAATGCGAACTGAATGATAACAAAAACAATATAGGATATTTCACTCATGCAACTGAATGATAACAAAACAAATATAGGATATTTCACTCACGCTAACTGAATGATAACAAAAACAATATAGGATATTTCACTCAATGCAACTGAATGATAACAAAACACAATATAGGATATTTCACTCACGCAACTGAATGATAACAAAAAACAATATAGGATATTTCACTCCATATGCAACTGAATGATAACAAAACACAATATAGGATATTTCACTCCACGCAACTGAATGATAACAAAACACAATATAGGATATTTCACTCACACGAACTGAATGATAACAAAAACAATATAGGATATTTCACTCCGCTGAATGATAAATGAAAACAATATAGGATATTTCACTCATGCAACTGAATGATAACAAAAACAATATAGGATATTTCACTCCACGCCAACTGAATGATAACAAAAAACAATATAGGATATTTCACTCACGCAACTGAATGATAACAAAACACAATATAGGATATTTCACTCACGCAACTGAATGATAACAAAAAACAATATAGGATATTTCACTCACGCAACTGAATGATAACAAAAACAATATAGGATATTTCACTCACGCAACTGAATGATAACAATAAACAATATAGGATATTTCACTCATGCAACTGAATGATAACAAAAACAATATAGGATATTTCACTCACGCAACTGAATGATAACAAAAAACAATATAGGATATTTCACTCATGCAACTGAATGATAACAAAAACAATATAGGATATTTCACTCACGCAACTGAATGATAACAAAAAACAATATAGGATATTTCACTCCATGCAACTGAATGATAACAAAACAATATATAGGATATTTCACTCACGCAACTGAATGATAACAAAACAATATAGGATATTTCACTCACGCAACTGAATGATAACAAAACACAATATAGGATATTTCACTCATGCAACTGAATGATAACAAAACACAATATAGGATATTTCACTCACGCAACTGAATGATAACAAAAACAATATAGGATATTTCACTCACGCAACTGAATGATAACAAAAAACAATATAGGATATTTCACTCACGCAACTGAATGATAACAAAACACAATATAGGATATTTCACTCACGCAACTGAATGATAACAAAAACAATATAGGATATTTCACTCACGCAACTGAATGATAACAAAACACAATATAGGATATTTCACTCACGCAACTGAATGATAACAAAACACAATATAGGATATTTCACTCACGCAACTGAATGATAACAAAACACAATATAGGATATTTCACTCACGCAACTGAATGATAACAAAAAACATGAGCATGATGGAACCATTCCAAATATTGATGCAATAACTGATATCAATCAAACTGTCCTTAAACACCTGTCCGCACCCACTTCTGGATCTGCCCTGCCCATGAATCGATGACAAGTCTAAACAAACCATTCCTCTCCCCAAAATAAATTTTAAAATAATTTTAAAAAATATATATAATAATAAAATAAATACAAAATAAAAATAAATAAATAAATAAAAAAATGTTTGTTTCAGGGTCTGTATGACAGACTACTATTTGTGTGAAATAATACAGCTCGAGTTTGCTGCATTTATATCCAGACAGCACTTTTGGATAGGTTCCCTGCTTTGAATAAGACTAGTACGTGAAGAACCCATTGTCATCAAGTCAGTTAAAATCAATTATTCCAGGGATGATTCTGTCAATACTGAAATAACCAGATAAAGTTTGTTTGATTGCCTAGTGGTTAAAGTGTTCGCTCATCATGCTGAACACCAGTACCCAACATGAGTACAATGTGTGAACCCAATTTCTGGTGTCACCTGACGTGATATTGCTGTAATATTGCTAAAAGCGGTGTAAACCATACTCACTCACTCACTCACCCACCCATAACAGAAAACCACATACATTAGCGTGAGCATATGAATCGGGCTCAACGTAAACCGGTTTGACTGGATCCAACTTGATGTTGACCTTGCCAGATCCAAACATTGCCTTTTCGTGTGTCGTGTAGCCATCATCTGCAGCCTCCGTCTGTGAAAGAGAGTTTGGAATGAGGTGTATAATTTAAATTCATTATTCATATCTCCTGTTAGGTCAGGGCCCTGTTTCTAAAAGCGAATGTAACACTAAGACGATCGTAACTCCCATACTTTAACATAGACTTACGACTGTCGTAACCCTAAGATAATCCTAACTCCCATACTTTAACATTTAGCATAGACCCTAAGATAATCCTAACTCCCATACTTTCATAGAACTGTCGTAACCCTAAGATGATCCTAACTCCCATACTTTAACATAGACTTACGACTGTCGTAACCCTAAGATAATCCTAACTCCCATACTTTAACATAGACTTACGACTGTCGTAACCCTAAGATAATCCTAACTCCCATACTTTAACATAGACTTACGATTGTCGTAACCCTAAGATGATCCTAACTCCCATACTTTAACATAGACTTACGACTGTCGTAACCCTAAGATGATCGTAACTCCCATACTTTAACATAGACTTACGAGTCGTGGTGCTACAACTGGTTTGTGGAACAGGACCATGACCAATATGTTATCTTGCCACACAGATCTTCTTGGACCCAATGGCAAGCATCATTAAGAGAGAGAAAATTTAATATATACTGGACGAAAATAGTTAGGGACATATGTAAAATTTCAAACTATGAATAATCATCCATTTATTTATTGACACACTGATGAAAATATCAATCATAAAATACCAATATCCTTAACTTATTTTGTCCAGTATATATTACATTTTGTTGTTGATTTGAAGTTAACTTTCAAAAACAACTTTTGAAATAATACAGTGCCTGCAATAAGGTGCCTAAACTTTGTGAGCAGGGTTCGACACTCATGCTTGTCCGCTTGCCCGTGGCAAGTACTAATTAATCAGGGCAAGTAAATTTGCTAAAAGGCTTGCCCAAGTGGCAAGTACATATTTTTTCAACTTCTAACCTCAATTCATTCATTAAAACTCTTCACTTGCTGTGTTTTGTTTGTCTAGTTCTTTCTATACCATAAGTAACATGGGGCAAGTAGTATCTGTGATGGGCAAGTAGTTTAACTTTTCTACTTGCCCTCTTGGCAAGTGGGAGAAATCAGTGAGCGTCAAACCCTGGTGAGTGTTGATTCGAATCCAAGATGGGACTCAACCCAACTTAAGTACTACACTCTGTACTTTACTGAGAAAGTGTAATCCCAAGTATAACATATGTTCAATAGCTTATGTTCTAATGATGTGTCATGTATATATCTATTCAAATACACTACTCTTCTCTATATATTATTTTGAACTTTTGAACAAGTTTGGATAGGCTAATCATGTGATAATCAAACGTAATAACTTGGTGTCATCAATATACGCATCCGACACAAACCTTTATCTTATCTCCCTTGTTTGACTTGAAAGGTGCTGGTTTGAATTTGTCGGCCTCGATGTTGGCAACAGCTTTGTTGAAGCTGATTGTGTCCTCCACTCCCGATTCCTGCAGCTGTTCACGGATCTTCTCATCAGCTGCAGCTGTGAATCATATAGCATTAGTTACAGCTGTGAATCATATAGCATTAGTTACAGATGTACAGCATATAGCATTAGTTACATCTGTACAGCATATAGCATTAGTTACAGATGTACAGCATATAGCATTAGTTACATCTGTACAGCATATAGCATTAGTTACAGATGTACAACATATAGCATTAGTTACATCTGTACAGCATATAGCATTAGTTACAGATGTACAACATATAGCATTAGTTACAGATGTACAACATATAGCATTAGTTACAGATGTACAACATATAGCATTAGTTACAGCTGTACAGCATATAGCATTAGTTACATCTGTACAGCATATAGCATTAGTTACATCTGTACAGCATATAGCATTAGTTACATTACAGCTGTACATCTGTACATATAGCATTAGTTACAGCTGTACAACATATAGCATTAGTTACAGATGTACAACATATAGCATTAGTTACAGATGTACAACATATAGCATTAGTTACAGCTGTACAGCATATAGCATTAGTTACAGCTGTACAGCATATAGCATTAGTTACAGATGTACAACATATAGCATTAGTTACAGATGTACAGCATATAGCATTAGTTACAGATGTACAACATATAGCATTAGTTACAGATGTACAACATATAGCATTAGTTACAGATGTACAACATATAGCATTAGTTACAGATGTGAATCATATAGCATTAGCATTAGTTACAGGTTACAGATGTGAATCATATATAGCATTAGTTACAGCTGTACAACATATAGCATTAGTTACAGATGTACATCATATAGCATTAGTTACAGCTGTACATCATATAGCATAGTTACATTACAACATATAGCATTAGTTACAGATGTGAGCATTAGTTACATATGTACAGCATTAGTTTACAGCTGTACAATCATATAGCATTAGTTACAGATGTACAACATATAGCATTAGTTACAGATGTACAATCATATAGCATTAGTTACATCTGTACATCATATAGCATTAGTTACAGCTGTACATCATATAGCATTAGTTACAGATGTACATCATATAGCAGTTACATGTACAGTTACAGCTGTACATCATATAGCATTGGTTACAGCTGTGAATCATATAGCATTGGTTACAGCTGTACAATCATATAGCATTAGTTACAGCTGTGAATCATATAGCATTAGTTACAGCTGTGAGATCATATAGCATTAGTTACAGCTGTGAATCATATAGCATTGGTTACAGCTGTGAATGTATATAGCATTAGTTACAGCTGTGAATGATATAGCATTAGTTACAGCTGTGAATCATATAGCATTGGTTACAGCAGTGAATCATATAGCATTAGTTACAGATGTACTGTGAATCATATAGCATTAGTTACAGCTGTAGGTAATAAACAACAGTTACAGCTGTAGGTCATATAATGTTACAGCTGTAGATCATATAACAACAGCAACTTGTGTCACTCAGTCTAAACTGCCATAAAGCTATAAGTTAGTATAACTATGAAATATACTTCATAAAGGCATGGCGGCATACTCTACTGGAAAATTCAGCCTGCTACTGAACATGTTGTTTTGTATTTGATTAAGATCTATCATGATGCAGTCAATGTTTATGTTGACACTGGGGTTTCCCCAACATTTATTGTCTGGATGAATGCATGTCTGGAGATCTGAATCCCTTTGTCAGTTACCTGCCCTGCCCATGTTCACTGGAGGCAATAAAACAAGCCCCCAAATCCTATCATACAATGCCTAATATCCCTCAAGTGAATTCAGCTGGACGGAGAGGTGAATTAATGCGATCATAACTGCCACTTTAATGATGGATGCAGTTGCAGAAAATTGCAGATCAAGCATCTGCTTGTTTCTGTGTCTGAAAACGGATTTCTGGATAAGTGACACAGTGTTCCCTGTGATTTTCAAATTTACCAGTCCAAGGGACTGTTAAGCCACAAATAAACCAGTACTTATTATTTTTACCAGTCCACTTCTTTTCCAATTTAATAAACATAAACACAATACATGTGTGTGTTTGTGTTTCATTTTATAATTAAAATATACATACTAAATTACAATCGTACATAAAATGTGATATAACAGTAATTGTTGCATGTTTTGTTACCAAAACTAAATCGCAACACACCCACCCAATTGTTTATGATTGTCATACCGTACCCATGGAACCTCTTTCCACTTCTTATTTAATTTTCTGGATGTTTAAAAATGTTATTTCATGGATTGTTTTGCTGGAATATAAGTTTTTACTACTTTCCCGATAGAGCATTGCCATATGATAAATGATAGCCTCATGCCAAAATGCCTCTCACATAATAAACATCTGGGTCAAGGTTAAGTGAGGTGTCTAGCCAATCGCAATAAGCATCAGGGGTTGTTACTAAAAATAGACAGGGAATTCCATACATGTATTGTATATGGTGCAGATCGATAAACTTTACTTGGCAGTTTCCAAACAAACTGTTTGCTGTTTGCAAACTTAACAGTTGCTGGAAATTTTCATTGCCTATTTCGTGGAAATAATTTAACCAGGTATTAAATCAGGTAAATTTATTGCCTGGCCCTAGGATTTGTTAGCCATAAATATACCGGTCATTTGACATTTTAACCGATAAAATACCAGCATATGCCAGTAAAAGGAAACACTGATAATAAAACATTATACAATTATAGACTCTTGTAGAGGTCGATATCGGTTTTTATTGACCTGAGTAAAACAATATCGACTGAGATTGCGCAGGTCGATATTGTTTGAAAAAAACCGAGAATTTTCTCGGTCAATAAAATAAATTATTATATAATGAAAGAGAAACGAGTTTTAACATAAACTTTTAATGCACACACTGTGCCATCTATCCGAGTGATCTGATTGGCTGAAAAGCAGGGGAAGACCCTTCGATGACATGGGATTCCTTGTCTATTTTAGTAACCCAAGTCAATATCGTCATTTTATCAGAAAACTCAAGTCAATATCGTGTTTTTGTAGTCAATCATGTGGCGGTATTTTGACAATGACCAATCGTGGTACAGGAAAAATACTACCTATATAATAATTTATTATATATATTTAGTTTCAGGTAAACATCATCTGGTAGGCAAGGTTTCCGAACATCTGGGTTCCACTGTATATAATGGTATATAGAACGATATATACAGATATATAGTATTGAAGTACAGTATAGACATAGTAGTATCAAAATGAAGTCAACCTACCTGCGGCCTTCAGTGCCAATCTCATCCTGGCACTAGCCTGTTCTCCTGGAGTCTGCAAAGAGTGAGTGAGTGAGTTTAGTTTTACGACGCTTTTAGCAATATTCCAGCAATATCATGGCGGGGGACACACCAGAAATGGACTTCACACACTGTGCCCATGTGTGGAATCGAACCCCGGTCTTCGGCGTGACGATCGAACGCCTTAACCACTAGGCTACCCCACCGCCCTGTCTGCAAACAAGAAAAACATGACATGGTATTTCTTATACTTGGAAGGGCCCTGTGAAGGTCCGGGTTAGAATTGGTCTTCAACAACCCATACTTGTCATAAAAGGCGACTATCGGGATCGGGTGGTCAGGCTCGCTGACTTGGTTGACACATGTCGTCGTATCCCAAATGTGTAGAATGATGTTCATGCTATTGATCACTGGACTGTCTGGTCCAGACTTGATTATGCACAGGCTGCGACCATATAGCTGGAATATTGCTGAGTGCGGCGTTAAACAACAAATAACCAACTTGAAAGGGTGATTACAGTTTTGGTCTTTTGGCATGTACAATTCCAGAGTTGGTGCAAGAAGTTTGTATGTGTATGAGTGGACCCTTACGGGGAACGAACGAGAGTGACCAAAAGGACATTACTCTGTACCGTTTGTGTTTGTGATTGTTGTTATACACAACACTCAGCAATATTCCAGTGATATGGCGGCGGTTTGAAAATAATTGAGTCTTGACCAGACAATCCAGTGATCAACATCATGAGCATCATTCTATGCAAATGGGATACAAACAACAACATGTGTCAACCAAGTCAGCGAGTCTGACCACCCGATCCCGTTAGTCACCTTTTACAACAAGCATGGGTTGCTGAAGACCAGTTGTATCCTGGATCTCCTCGGGTACACCATTAACTCATTAAGGCCGAGAGACGCATATATGGGGCAAATTAATCAGCTCCTCACAGCGAGTGACGTGTTTATGGGGCAGGTAATTAGCAGTTTCTCACAGTGAGAGCCACATACAGTCGTCAACAGAAAGCACCTCTTATTCAGCGAGAGATGCACATGTATGTTGTACTTTTAAAAATCGCACTGTACCTATTATTTCAACCAATTTAGCAGTACTGAGCAAATATTAGCTTTTCTTATGAGAGATCCCACCTTTAGTATCAATCAGAAGAAGTATTTAAAGTGTTTTGATAACAATTGCTAATCATTATCATAGGCTTGTACAGCGTTTAGCAAATGAAGGCATGTGGCGAGAAAGGGGATTATGATGTTTTTACAGAGGTAAGTGCCTGGTACTCTACCTTGGGAATGGATACTAAAATACTTTGTATGCACCTTGATTGAATTAGATGTAATGGTTTAGAGGTTACTAAAAATTATATTTCCTTCAACTACCTAATAAATAGGAAACAATATCGCAATTTCAAGGACATACAAAGAATTCAAACACAATAGAATAGTTTGAATTTACTTTTTAGGCATCATTACGTTGTCATGTTTCATATACTGAAACATAATGTATAAACACAAGTAATTATACATCCAAGCTCGAATAAATTAAACATAATTGAACTTACTAATTTGAAGTGATAAGTCGCGCCCTTGCATCGAATACATACATACATGTCAGTGTTATTACAACAATGAAATGTTTTACTAGGTTTGTTACAAAAGACTGTAAGTTGGTAATTCAAAACATTGTCACACATGGACAGAAGTAATATCATAAGTTATTACATGTAAGCCATACAAAGGTATTTCAAGCATTTTTTGTTCAAGCTGTTGAAAGTTTCATGTTGATTTGAATTGTCAGTTTTCTATGCAATTTGTAAACATGAGCATTGTGTAAAACGTTTGTATTTGATCTGTGTAATTATCAAATCCGGTGCAATTATCACGTGTATCAATCAACTCAGTCTCTATTGATCCATCGTCAATAAAAGCTGGATAGTATATCAGTTACAGTATCGATACACATGCGTATAATCATTCAAGCAGATTACAGTAATGAGATAATTGAACGCCTCATTTGACCTTGAAATAACAGCTCCAGTAGAATGCATATGTAGTTACGTCCTTGTTGAAAGGTTTGTCCCGTGACAAGTGTAAAATAAACAGATGCGTTGTTATATCATTGGACATCCTTCTTTATGGAGTCACGCCCCTCTCTGTGATGTTTATACATGCATGCACATCTGTAATCTTATGAACCTCATTTGCATTCAGTAAAGATATAGGCACGCCCACCTTCATTAAAATTGGGGGTGGGGGGGTCAACTGCAAGTTTATACACCATACCTCATGAATTCTGTAATGCGTGTACTCTAGTTTGGATAGTCATTCGTATCAAGGTGAAGGTTATATTTACATGTACAGCAAATCATTATGTTTTATGTACTAGTTGTGTGCATAAAATGTATATGAAAATAAATACTACCTCTACTCAGTGGTTGGATTTCAATCGCTTTGTTTTACTTATCGAAAAACACTAAAATGAGGACAAATAAACTCGCCAAAGTGACTATCTACTCCTATTTGTCTTATGTGTATATTTCATACATCGTTACCAGTGTGTATGTTTACAATACACAAACTGTTACATGATAGCTTGAGTTGATAAAGCCGAAACCCAGCATATCGACTGGTCAAGGATATAGCCAATAACCAATCTCTATCCAAGCTGCTGAGTGACCAAACGTGCTCTTCAGAAATTTCGCCCACGCCCCATCACCTGTCCTTTCCTCTATGACAGGTATCTCATCATACGATTGGTCGCAGATAACATATATATGACCAGCCACTAAACTGAACAGTTGAGATACCAGTGTGTATGTTTACAATACACAAACTGTTACATGATAGCTTGAGTTGATAAAGCCGAAACCCAGCATATCGACTGGTCAAGGATATAGCCAATAACCAATCTCTATCCAAGCTGCTGAGTGACCAAACGTGCTCTTCAGAAATTTCGCCCACGCCCCATCACCTGTCCTTTCCTCTATGACAGGTATCTCATGATACGATTGGTCGCAGATAACATATGACTAGCCACTACATTGAACAGTTGAGATAATCGAACGCTCTATTCGAAATTTGAAATTGATGGCCTATCACGTGACTCTTTGTTTTATGTCTATGCAAGGAATATGTAGTATACATTTTGTATATGTATGTTTGTATGGTCATGTATGTTTTCTGCATTAAATCTGTATGGAATAAAGTTTAATGCTATGAATGTGCTTTGTGCTAGTTACAGACTAGCGTTATAGTACTTTCATTAAAATAATTCGTAAACACTAGAAATGTATCGGCAAAACCGCTATTTTCGTCGAGGATTATAAAGTATGAAAGTAAATTCTTCTTTACAGTATGTCATTGTCATAGATGTTTTGTAAATTTAAGCCTCACACAATGATATAAGAGAGAGAATTTGGTAACGTGTGTCTCATCTGTTACATACAAAGAATACATGTGTATGCATATTGTGATAAAATATAAATGTACAAGCCGACAAAAGGTCTACAAGAGAAACTTGCAATAAAATTACATAAAGCTTGCAATACACGACATGTTTTCACACCTGATTTCTTTCAACATATATCTTTACCACACAACTAAACAATCAGGACTTGTTTGTACGACTAGACAGTTTCCTGTGATCCCCGAAATATGCCAGGGAAATCAGGTGTGACTAGCACTAATTAGTATCGGCACAGAGAGTGGGCAATCAGCGAGGGCTACCAGGTGTTGAGTAGTGATGGGGCTCTCGGGCTTAAGGAGTTAACAAGCAAATGGTGATGATGTTAGCATCTACACCGAAACGATGCATCTAGAGCAATTAAAAAGTTGTCTATTAATAAATAGTGTTCTGCTTCATCATACAGGCTTCTAAATGCCAAGTCCTTCTAACATATGATCTATCAGTAATCTTTAGCACCATTCTGCCATAATCATAATGATACTTCCCCAGTATTTTTCATACTGAACAAAACATCTATCAGGGAAGATTTGAAAAATCTGTTCACATGCAAATCTGTCAGTCAATGAAATCTAATTGATGCTACAGAAAGTGATCTGTTTGATTGGCATTTAGAAGTTGGTGACTAATAAGAAAGTAAGAAAGTTTATGGATAACAACTTCTTTATTATATACGATGCGACGTTTCGGTATGGATTCTTATACCGTTGTCAAGCAAGAGTGAAGTACTACAGCACAGAACAGACTTATATACATGAACAGGGATTAAGTAATAACAACATGTAGGACTGAATGAGGGGGATTAACAATAACAACAAGGCACGGTGGCAATAATGTAGTGACAATAGGAAGCCAATGGTGGTGGAGGTAAAAAACAAAATATACATGCTGATGAGATTAATTAACAATGATGGCTGAGGTGCTCTAATCTGTTGTTTTTATGAGATCATTGTATGCAGAAGGGATGAGATATCCCTGGTCTCTGTTGATTGAGGGCTTGTGTCTCCGGATTTGAACTGCTTCTGCAAGTTTCCTTTTGGTGAAGTCCTGGTGGTTTTTGGATAATATCTCGACATTGTCCCAAATTATGTTGTGATTGGGGTAGTTGATGATGTGGTCTGATATTGCCGATTTTCTATCAGATTTAGTGGTAGATGATAAGTGTTCTTTGATTCTAATATTTATGGGCCGGGAGGTTTCGCTACAGAAAGTGTCCGGACAGTTGACTTTAGAGGGGAGACAACCCACAATTAAACTCTGATTGTTTCATGTCAGGGCAATTAGACCATCCTGTGACACAGATTTGCTAATAGTACAGCATTGAAAACACACCACCAGTAACATGGCTGCATTGTTATCCGGGCTAAAGCCATAAGAAAATATATCAGCGAATGAGGTATACAGGATGCTCTAGACAAAGCATGATGAAGAACAGCTCATCTAACCCATCCCTATATCCTCCCTGAGTCACATCACCAAAATGCAACCAATTGTGTACACATCATGGAAAATGTGGGGTTGTTTTTCAGGTAGAGCATTCAGAATAGGGCTATAAAAGACAGGCTCTTAAAAGTCACATCACTTGTTGATGTACACGTAAAGGGTACTGACACAAGCGATGCCAAGACTGACTGAGTATGGTTTTACGCCGTTTTTAAGCAATATTCCAGCAATATCACGGCAGGGGACACCAGAAATGGGCTTCACAAATTGTACCCATGTGGGGAATCGAACCCGGGCCTTTGGCAGTGTAGGAAAGATAGCCCGTCCCAACGTCCGAGACGGGTGAATTTTGTGGAGGACGGGTTAAAAAAATATCTAGTCCGTCCTCATGTCGGGTCAATTTTAGCAAACCAATGACATATATATAATGATTATAACCTTTTTGAATATATACTGCCGAAGGTGTTTTATTTATATTTGGAGGACAGGCTAGATTTTGGCAGGACTGGTAAAAAATTTGACCTGCCAGTCCTGTGGACAGGCTAGATTTTCTTCATCTTTCCTACACTGCCTTTGGCGTGACGAGCGAACGCTTTAACCACTAGGCTACCCCACCGCCCCGATGCCAAGACTGACGGCGGAGAAATGTGAATGTACCATGGGCATGCTTCAAGTTGGCATGTCAAGTAGAATTTTCAATGCAACCATTCAACCATCCTCACACTACAGATACCTGCTGATCACTAAAGTCCTGTCGGAAATAGGAAAAAACTGATTTTTCGCATTTATATCTACAATTTATGTAGTTAACATGTGAAAGTGTGAAATACAGTCTCAGTGATAGAGAGATAGGAAATGTAGAAAATGGACTTTACTGAGGAGAGATTAGTGCAGAAATAAGCAATGCGTTTTCTTTCTAAGTCCAAAGCGACTTATTTAGAACAGACCATGACTTAATGCAAATTATAGTCCGTTTGATTGCATTTGAGACTGATGAATTGCTCTCTAACACAAAATCCAATAATTGCCAGCAAGTGGCCTCCCCTCGTAAGAAATAGTGAAAGTGATAACAAAATTATGATCGTTTGTTAAACACCTTTTTAAAAATAACCTTATCTTTATTATAAACGATAGTTGACGTAAACAATAATGACTTTAATACTGAAACTATTAAGGATGTAGCTACCATGGAGTCTCACTATCACCATAAAAAGAAACAGGTCGGAGGGGTCATCTCAAACGGTGTGTCAGGACGGGTGTTACAGATGGTGGTTGGGGTCGGGCTGAGCGATAGAGATATCAGCTGAGATAAGAGTGAGTGAGTGAGTGAGCTTAGTTTGACGCTGCACTCAGCAATATTCCAGCTATATGGCGGCGGTCTGACGGTTGACCGATGACATGTGTCAACCAAATCAGTGAAACTGACCACCCGATCGCCTCTTACGACAAGATAGTCGCCTTTTTATGGCAAGCACATGGGTTGCTGAAGACCTATTCTACCCCGGATCTTCACGGGTCCGCTGAGATAAGATAATTCTTGAGGGGACATAGATTGGGGAAGCAAACGGTACGTCATAACAATTTACAAATGCTATCCAGTCCCTGTCGATCATCGGGTGGTCATGCCACCTATATATTTTGAGACATTTAATACCATGGCTGATTTAAGCTTTTCTATGGGTATCATACTTTTACATATCTCCACATAAACTTTGTGAAAGAAAAACACGTAAGATGACAATCAATAGATGAGACATATTCAAAGCATAAAGCATAAAATATCTTTGAGATGACCCCGAGTGCCCGTAGGCAGCACATGCTTTTCATGCCAGGTGAGTCGAGGGTCTGATGTATTGTTTTCAGCAGCTATTGGTATTTTTTCTAAGTTTTGCCCGATTTTACTGGTAAACATGCTTTTCTGGATACCTTATTACGCGTTTCCACTGAATGCCCAGTTAGGCCGATGCGGGTTATTTCGACATATGCTATTTGCCATTCCGTAAGTTTTACAGAGTAACAGCCTATAAACAGTTTTTTCTATTTCCGACAGTACTTTAGAGATCGAATAGATACGTCCAGGTCAATGTCGTGTAAGAACACCTCGCCAAGATCGCCATATTGTTCGACACCATCTTGAGTGAGTGATTTTAGTTATATTTTGTTTTAAGCAATATTCCAGCAATATCACGGCTGGGTGTCAAGAAATGGGCTTCACACATTGTACCCATGTGGGGAGTCAAACCCAGAGTTTTTGGCATGACGAGCAAATCACTAGGCTACCCGACCGCTCCTCGCCATCTTGAACATGCACTGCGTCAGGTGTGGAATGCTATCCCCCAGAACACTAGTAAAAGATGCATTGGATCAATGAGAAGACACTGTATGGTCCGTGTTGCTGCCAATGCTGGACATTGGACATTCTTAATAGTCCATCTATTGCTGTTCTAAATAAGATTGGCTATTGCTCAAGCGAATTGTGATACTTCAAGATGAGCACCTTTAGAATTCAGCAACATAACCTCTCATCAGGACATTCTCTGCCATAGGTCACATGTCACTGAGACAGGCAACCAGTTTGTGAGAATCCCTCGGATTTTAACTCGCGACTGTCGGATTTTAGCCTGACAGCTGACCAACTGAGCTACGTCCACACTGTTGCACAATGTGCAAATATCTAGGAATTCCTGAGAGGTTATGGAAATGAACGGAAATAGTCAAATATGTCACAGAGAATTACGAAGGTTACAGGGTAGCCTTGGTGTCTGGGGATTTGAATCTACTGAGAATTGACGAATGGCCCCGATCCCATTCGGCACACTCGTTCCATTCCGTAATTTACAAGATACTGTGTGGTGTGAAATGAGCCGATATGGCGCAAACTGAAAACAAACTGTTGATGTCAGGCGTCAGACATCAAATTCACAGTATACACGAATGACATGCTTTTAAAAAAATCATCGGGTGATTTTGTGACAGAAAAGTGATGTAGGATACACTGTAAGGATAATGTGGATCGCACTAAGGAATGAGGGAGGCATGAGCATGTCTAGTGACGTCACGAGGGTGAGCTAGCCTTCAAATCGTTGCTGAAGAAATGTAGGCTCCCAAATGTTGCGTGTGAAAATGGCTTAAGGGCAAGTTCCAGGATAATTTCCATTAGCCCAAATTTTCCACAGTAATTGTGTGCTTTGACGTTATTTGGGTGAAACAAGTATTAGAAATATGAACGAAAATCAAAAAAAAAAAAATGGTACCAGTAACACATGCATTGCACCGGACATCTATACCTACCATATTGGATTCTAACAATAACCCTAAACCCAAACCCAAAACCTAAACCCTTCAAAATAATGGCTGACATGTAATGCATTCTAACCGCTTCGAAATATACAATGTAAAAAAAACCTCCAGTCTTGTTTAATGATGCAAATTACTGAATGAAAAAAATTGATATGTCATAGTTCCCATTTATAATTCATTTAGTCCTAAAAAATACGGTGAAAGTGAAATATAAAATATATATTTAAACCAAAAGTGCTTTCATTAACTGGTGCTTGCCATAAGTTGTGCATACGCCGGTAAACAACTACAATAAACTCTCAACATCGTTGGGCTTATTCAATACCATAGCTAGTAGACATGAAACATCAGTGAGCAGAGCTTATACACACGCGATTAGCTGGACAACCGTGTTGCTATGCAGGCATCATAGGGCATTGTTTCGAGAACATGTTTTGGAACCAAATCATATAAAATTATGTAAAAAGGTATTATGACGTATTTTGAAAGTTTGTGGTGCGGTATTCTAAAGGTAGGCCCTTCAAGATTTCTTACTGGCGTGTTTTCACTGCTGTTCACTATATTTTGGTCACCTACCATGTCATCAAATCCAGGTATCTGTTCTCGAATATCTGCCTGGATGCTGAAAAAAATGAAAATGCAACATCTTGTAAATTGTATGTTTAAACGGTTCTTAAATTAGTTCATAAAACATACATAAAATGTAGTGAACTAGGGACTAACGACACACTCAGCCCAGAGGACTGTAACAATGAAGTGAACTAGGGACTAACGACACACTCAGCCCAGCGGACTGTAACAGTGTAGTGAACTAGGGACTAATGACACACTCAGCCCAGCGGACTGTAACAATGAAGTGAACTAGGGACTAACGACACACTCAGCCCAGAGGACTGTAACAATGAAGTGAACTAGGGACTAATGACACACTCAGCCCAGTGGACTGTAACAATGAAGTGAACTAGGGACTAACGACACACTCAGCCCAGCGGACTGTAACAATGAAGTGAACTAGGGACTAACGACACACTCAGCCCAGCGGACTGTAACAATGAAGTGAACTAGGGACTAACGACACACTCAGCCCAGCGGACTGTAACAATGTAGTGAACTAGGGACTAAATCACACACACTCAGCCCAGCGGACTGTAACAATGAAGTGAACTAGGGACTAACCACACACTCAGCCCAGCCGGACTGTAACAATGTAGTGAACTAGGGACTAACCACACACTCAGCCCAGCGGACTGTAACAATGAAGTGAACTAGGGACCAACGACACTCAGCCCAGCGGACTGTAACAATGTAGTGAACTCGGGACTAACGACACACTCAGCCCAGCGGACTGTAACAATGTAGTGAACTAGGGACTAACGACACACTCAGCCCAGCAGACTGTAACAATGTAGTGAACTAGGGACTAATGACACACTCAGCCCAGCTGACTGTAACAATGTAGTGAACTAGGGTCTAACGACACACTCAGCCCAGCAGACTGTAACAATGTAGTGAACTAGGGTCTAACGACACACTCAGCCCAGCGGACTGTAACAACGAAGTGAACTAGGGACTAATGACACACTCAGCCCAGCTGACTGTAACAATGTAGTGAACTAGGGTCTAACGACACACTCAGCCCAGCCGGACTGTAACAGTGTAGTGAACTAGGGACTAACGACACACTCAGCCAGCCGGACTGTAACAATGTAGTGAACTAGGGACTAAGCGACACACTCAGCCCAGCGGACTGTAACAATGTAGTGAACTAGGGACTAATGACACACTCAGCCCAGCTGACTGTAACAATGTAGTGAACTAGGGTCTAACGACACACTCAGCCCAGCAGACTGTAACAATGTAGTGAACTAGGGTCTAACGACACACTCAGCCCAGCGGACTGTAACAACGAAGTGAACTAGGGACTAATGACACACTCAGCCCAGCGGACTGTAACAATGTAGTGAACTAGGGACTAATAACACACTCAGCCCAGCTGACTGTAACAATGTAGTGAACTAGGGTCTAACGACACACTCAGCCCAGCAGACTGTAACAATGTAGTGAACTAGGGTCTAACGACACACTCAGCCCAGCGGACTGTAACAACGAAGTGAACTAGGGACTAATGACACACTCAGCCCAGCGGACTGTAACAATGTAGTGAACTAGGGACTAATAACACACTCAGCCCAGAGGACTGTAACAATGTAGTGAACTAGGGACTAACGACACACTCAGCCCAGCGGACTGTAACAATGTAGTGAACTAGGGACTAACGACACACTCAGCCCAGCTGACTGTAACAATGAAGTGAACTAGGGACTAACGACACACTCAGCCCAGCGGACTGTAACAATGAAGTGAACTAGGGACTAACGACACACTCAGCCCAGCGGACTGTAACAATGAAGTGAACTAGGGACTAACGACACACTCAGCCCAGCGGACTGTAACAATGAAGTGAACTAGGGACTAACGACACACTCAGCCCAGCGGACTGTAACAATGTAGTGAACTAGGGACTAACGACACACACTCAGCCCAGCGGACTGTAACAATGTAGTGAACTAGGGACTAACGACACACTCAGCCCAGCGGACTGTAACAATGAAGTGAACTAGGGACTAACCACACACTCAGCCCAGCGGACTGTAACAATGTAGTGAACTAGGGACTAACGACACACACTCAGCCCAGCGGACTGTAACAATGAAGTGAACTAGGGACTAACCACACACTCAGCCCAGCGGACTGTAACAATGAAGTGAACTAGGGACTAACGACACACTCAGCCCAGCGGACTGTAACAATGTAGTGAACTAGGGACTAACGACACACTCAGCCCAGCGGACTGTAACAATGAAGTGAACTAGGGACTAACGACACACTCAGCCCAGCGGACTGTAACAATGAAGTGAACTAGGGACTAACGACACACTCAGCCCAGCGGACTGTAACAATGAAGTGAACTAGGGACTAACCACACACTCAGCCCAGCGGACTGTAACAATGAAGTGAACTAGGGACTAACCACACACTCAGCCCAGCGGACTGTAACAATGTAGTGAACTAGGGACTAACGACACACTCAGCCCAGCGGACTGTAACAATGTAGTGAACTAGGGACTAACGACACACTCAGCCCAGCGGACTGTAACAATGAAGTGAACTAGGGACTAACCACACACTCAGCCCAGCGGACTGTAACAATGTAGTGAACTAGGGACTAACGACACACTCAGCCCAGCGGACTGTAACAATGAAGTGAACTAGGGACTAACCACACACTCAGCCCAGCGGACTGTAACAATGAAGTGAACTAGGGACTAACGACACACTCCAGCCCAGCCGGACTGTAACAATGTAGTGAACTAGGGACTAACGACACACTCAGCCCAGCGGACTGTAACAATGAAGTGAACTAGGGACTAACGACACACTCAGCCCAGCGGACTGTAACAATGAAGTGAACTAGGGACTAACCACACACTCAGCCCAGCGGACTGTAACAATGAAGTGAACTAGGGACTAACGACACACTCAGCCCAGCGGACTGTAACAATGTAGTGAACTCGGGACTAACGACACACTCAGCCCAGCGGACTGTAACAATGAAGTGAACTAGGGACTAATGACACACTCAGCACAGCGGACTGTAACAATGTAGTGAACTAGGGACTAACGACACACTCAGCCCAGCGGACTGTAACAATGAAGTGAACTAGGGACTAACGACACACTCAGCCCAGCGGACTGAATCAATGTAGTGAACTAGGGACTAACGACACACTCAGCCCAGCGGACTGTAACAATGAAGTGAACTAGGGACTAACCACACACTCAGCCCAGCGGACTGTAACAATGAAGTGAACTAGGGACTAACGACACACTCAGCCCAGCGGACTGTAACAATGAAGTGAACTAGGGACTAACAACACACTCAGCCCAGCGGACTGTAACAATGTAGTGAACTAGGGACCAACGACACTCAGCCCAGCGGACTGTAACAATGTAGTGAACTAGGGACTAACGACACACTCAGCCCAGCGGACTGAATCAATGTAGTGAACTAGGGACTAACGACACACTCAGCCCAGCGGACTGAATCAATGTAGTGAACTAGGGACTAACGACACACTCAGCCCAGCGGACTGTAACAATGAAGTGAACTAGGGACTAATGACACACTCAGCCCAGCGGACTGAATCAATGTAGTGAACTAGGGACTAACGACACACTCAGCCCAGCGGACTGTAACAATGTAGTGAACTAGGGACTAACGACACACTCAGCCCAGCGGACTGTAACAATGAAGTGAACATGGGACTAACAACACACTCAGCCCAGCGGACTGTAACAATGAAGTGAACTAGGGACTAACAACACACTCAGCCCAGCGGACTGTAACAATGTAGTGAACTAGGGACTAACGACACACTCAGCCCAGCGGACTGTAACAATGTAGTGAACTAGGGACTAACGACACACTCAGCCCAGCAGACTGTAACAATGTAGTGAACTAGGGACTAACGACACACTCAGCCCAGCGGACTGTAACAATGTAGTGAACTAGGGACTAACGACACACTCAGCCCAGCGGACTGTAACAGTGTAGTGAACTAGGGACTAACGACACACTCAGCCCAGCGGACTGTAACAATGTAGTCCAAGCTGGATCCATTGGCTGACATCACGAGCATCAATCAATGCAACTGGGATACAGTGACATGTATCAACCAAGTCACCACATTTGAAAAACCATTACGCAGCCAATTTCTACAAACATAGATTGCTGAAGACCGGTTCTAACCCAATTCATCACAACACTACGAGATTGGACTGCTGAGCACCAATTCTAACCTGGTTCATCACAGGGTTACAAGTATGGGATACTGAACACCAGTTCTACACTAGCTTATTGCAGGGTTACAAGCATGGAGTGTAGAAGATTGATCCAGAATCTCTGCAGGAGTAGGTACTATCAGTGAGTATCAAAGAGGAACAATAATAAGAGACAGTAATATATGTCACTCTGATACTCACTCTTTGGGAGCTGGGCTCTCTCTCCGTGATCTGCTTTTCTTCTTGTCGGGAGATCTGTAACCATGGTAACATATTCTCAGGTTGTACAATCACTACATTACACAATGGAATTTTTTGCCATACAAAACATTTTTGTCACCATGGTAACTGTGAAGACAAGTCTAATAAGAACCAATTTGGACCAATTGCTTGTAACCTTATCACCATTTCCATCTCTCTTGATCAGTGTGCGAAACAGTTTCCAAATTTTGCGAGCCAGTTGGGCTAGCTATGCCTGAAAGTTACTATCCCACAACATAATTCACTATCCCAAAACTTGAGTGGAGACACAGCTTTCATAATTAAGTTGCTAACAATGATGAACATTTTTATCAGGCCCCAATCTTTGATGATTTAAAAGTGTATTATAACTTAACAAGTCAGAGAAAGTGATATATTTACAAAATGACTCCATGAAAATTCACTAGCCAGTCGGGCCAGTGACTGTGGAGATTTACTGTCCCGACTGGATTTTTACTAGCCATGGGCTAGCGGGCCTTCAGCTATTTCGCACACTGCTCTTAATACTGGCTTAGAGCAGAATTTATTACATGTTTTGATTTACCTAGCAGTCAATAGTGCTCTTTGTAAGGGTCGGGCATAAATCCAGTTCATCTTCATTAAAAACATATCCTTATGCTTGCCAATGGACACCAATCACAGTTCACCCTAAAAAGACCTATCACTTGACCAATCAGAGTATGGCTTACTAGATCAAAGAAGTGAAAGTCTGAATCTGTTTATAACATAATTGAGACATTTGTTTAAACAATTTGCAAATAGTAGTCTCAAATGAAACTTGTCAGTTGGAGACAAGTGACATAGAGCTTGAGAGAGCAGCTTTTTCATAATCACATTGGTGTGTCAAAGTTCAAAAAATCACTCTAATGTGACCTGTTCTGAAGCGATGTGCTTACATTTTAGTGTAGACGTAGCAACAACTAAGATATGATTTTAATGAGATTGATCTAGCTGAAATGTTGGCCATTTCAAATAAGTCCTGACAGACTACAAATGAAGGAGTTTCTGAGAGCGGTCATGTTAAAGACGAACATCCTCCCGAGTAATCAGGCTCAGGGAGCCAATTCCTTATTTTATCGAGACTTATGCCATGAGACAATACAACTGATTTCATCACTTGTTGTACTTGTTGATGAGTGAGTATAGTTTTATGCCTCTTTTAGCAATATTCCAGCAATATCACTGCCAGGGACATCAGTAAAGGGCTTCAAACATTGTACCCATGTGGGAAACGAATGAATGCTTTCACCACTAGACTACCCCACCACCCCTAATCGTAGGTGAGCAGCAGTGTTTGTTTCAGTGGCTATGATGGATAATTTTCAGAGAGTTTGACATGATCTGAACAAGACTTAATATTTATCCTAGTCCCATTGGCAACCATAGCTTTGTTTTATCATACTAGGATGGTGACATGGTATATATGATATGGACACCATGAGATGAGAGGTTGACACCATTCTGTTGTCATCACTGAATCTGGTCCTGACGAACCCATTCACGATAAAACAATATTCACTCACTTCAGAAGAGTTTAACAGTGTTTTTTTTCATAAAGTTGACCTTGATAAATGTTTCATTTAATTACAGAAACATACTCCCCCTCACTGAAAAGTTCTGAAAATAAATATCTTCTCTGACGAACCTTGATCTCCTTCCTCTGCTTCTTGACCTTGATCTGCGACTTCTACCTCGTGAATCTGACCTTGACCTCCGACCTCTACTTCTGGAATCAGACCTTGACCTCCGACCTCTGCTTCTGGAATTTGACCTGGATCTTCTCCTGGTATGTCTGTCTCTACTTCTTGACCTGTATCTGTCTCTGTTTCTCTCTGGACTCCACGACCTAGATCTGGATTAAAATAAGTCGTGTAAAGGATTTGTGAATTGATTTATTGTGCTATCAAGAAGAAACGTAGGTGTATATTAACATACCTGAAACGAGAGTAATTCTTTTACCACAATACGATTTGATGCCACTTCTAACAACATTCCAGCAAATTCATGGCCAGGAACATCTGTTATACACTCGCATAAGCTTGATTTGTTGATGTAAGGGAAGTGCAGCGAAAATCATATTTTAAATGCATGATTTCATTTAGTATACTCACTAAATATGTTATTCATTGATTCAGCAAATTGAAAATGGCTAATATTCCACTCATGAATGAAACGTTTGTTTACCGAAGCTATTTGCAATCATCACCCATTCATGTACCCACAAAATGTGACGTCACCTTGTATCGTGGATTACGTAGTTTGTTACTTTATATCACTTTGTACGACAGCCCATTGCAGTAAGTATTGACACCTATGAATGCAGACGACGAAATGTGAGAAGGTTGGTGCTAACTGTACCTTTTTTACTTGACATTTTGTAAAAATAATTTTTTTAATTGTTGGCATTATTGACCTTGGGCTATTTATTTCAGTGCTGACAAATTAGATTTATTGTACTTACATGTAATGTAGAGATTCAGGACATTTTGTGTCAGCGAGGCAAGGCACTGTATGTACATCAAAAGGGCCGCTTCATGATATCAAACGAGACTTAATTTACGAGAAAGCATGATAATTACCGCCATCCACAATTCAAGGTTACGGTTGTGTACATTGTACCCTTGAGATATTCAGTAAGGGGCAGTGGTGTGCACATTTAAACTTGTGCTATAATCTTATAGGCATATTGTTATGAATGAGAGTGTTTTTTTTTTGTAATTTGTAATATCATTGATTATATGGGTCACAATGTTTAAAGTTTTGAGTGTGGGTTTGGGCTTGCATCCCGCATCATATATGTTCAATGGCAATAGTATTTGTAGCGGCGCGCCTTTTTGATAGCACTTTGGAGTTGCTTCCCTTGGCTGGCTTTATTTTGTTTTGACCTTTCAGGTCTTGTCATGTCTTGTGTTTACGATGGCTTTTGTGAACGTTCCAAGAGGATAATGATGGAGCCTAGCTTGCTAGAATGCTCAATAACCGTGTAAGAGTTATATGAAGGCTGGTTGTTGTGTTGTGCGACACAGGACTTTTCACATGACTGGATTTATACACATCTGTCTGCCAGTTTCAAATGTAAGACTTTGATAGTTTGTTTTATTTTGACATTTAATTAACAATACTTTGAATGTAAATTAAATACAGTAATATACTCGTAACTCTCCATTTCTTAAAAATAACAGACCTCGGTTCCATTCTTATTCAGGAATGGAGAGTTACTCAGATATTACCCTCCAGGGCTCCAGATAACTTTTGGGAGTCTGGGTGTACTTACACCTCAAATTGCAAGTGGAGATGAACTGAGAATTTTGAAGGAGTACTGACATGTTTTGTGTGAGCAAGTTGGTGATGTGGTTTGTTATTTATAATATTCAACAAATTGTCAGCTATTAAACCTTATATGTTAGGCATTACAAAGGTATTTATGTGCATACATGACACATTTGAAATCTTATAGTAAATTAGGTACTTCATTGATTTTTAGGCGTACATTACGCCTGTATGCCCCTTTATCTGTAGCCCTGCCTCTGCAGAATGATTTAGAAAGATCTAGAAAGAAATTATTCTAGAATCATCTGGAGAGGTAGATAAGAGGAGTTAACTCTTGCCTCATCTCACATTACATCTCAAGCTACCAGAAGACCAACAATGTGTGTGACGATCATATATCCTGCCTGAGCCTGCAACAGGGGTTGCTGTTGCTGAGAGGTGAATGTTATCATCATTGTCGTTCTTGCTACAATCGCTGTTCTGGTATCAAATTTGATCTTGTACTGCCATAGTGATAGCCTTGAATTGATTTGAGAAATTAGTATATTTTAGAATACAACTGCTACTTACAGCACATTTGTTGTTTGCCAGTTTCATGCATAGTTCGGGGCAGTGGGGTAGCCTAGTGGTTAAAGCCTTTGCTTGTCATGCCCGAAGACCCGGGTTCGATTCCCCACATGGGTACAATGTTTGAAGCCCATTTCTGGTGTCCCCCATCGTGATATTGCTGGAATAGTGCTAAAAGCGCCGTAAGACCAAACTCACTCCTCACAGTTCTCTTACGGACTGATTCCTGGTTAAGTATTTAGTTTCAAAATGGGAATCAACACGTAACACAGCTTAAGTTAAATGATGGGCAACAGACAAATAGAAGCAAGTTGGAACTCACCTGAACAGCAGTCTCAGTAAACAATTTTCCTTATAAATATGATGTCCACTCACAGTGTTAAAATACACTGGATTTAAATATTTTGAATGACCTAAGGCAACAACTATCATCCAATGTGACTTATAACTGGATCAAGTAACAGTACTGCGATGCACTGAACATTTAATAAACTATTATTGTCTTGGTACTAACCTCTTTCTATCCCTGCTTCTTGACCTCCGACCTCTACTTCTTGACCTTGACCTTCTTAAAGCACGGTCTCTTGATCGACTATGAGATCTTTTCTTGTGCCGTCTTCTTCGACTTTTATGCTTACTGGAGTATCTGCTGCTTCCACTGCTGGCCGATCTGTACACAAGCAGATGATGAATATATTACTCTATGGCCATTCATTGATCGGCGATAAGACATTAAACTGCCTTTGAAATGCATGCTAGTATGCTGGCCCTTGACTACAAAATTGGCTGAGGACAAGTAAGATTCGAGTGTCCATGTTGACAGTAGTCCTTACTGACAAGCAGTATATGAGTACCACAGTTCTCAACCAGTTCTCAATGCTTCATTTATGCTACAAATTTGGATTCAAGCTGGATTAGAAGTGAACTCCAAGCAACACTGAAAGGTGGTTTCCACTTGTAATCTGAGCAGGTCTTTTTTTATTTTGTTTGTTGTTTCACACTGCACTCAGCAATATTCCAGCGATATCTGATTTACAGACAATCCAGTGATCAACAGCATAACCATCAACTTACTCAATTGATACAATGACATGTGTCAAACCAAGTCAGCGAGCCTGACCACCTGATCCCATTAGTCACCTCTTACAACAAGCATGGGTTTCTGAAGAGCAGTTCTAACCCGGATATTCATGGGTAAACCTGGTCCATTTTCTAAAATGGTGTAAACAAACTGCCTAGATTGAAACACTGAAAACTTGTGTCCAGTTCGGTATTTTATGTGTATGATTTTGTGAAATATTTTCGTGCATATTGCTGTTGAAAATGGGGTATCATTGCTTAAATTTCACTGGTGAAATCACAACTTTTTGTTTCTTGAAACTGCTTAATGTTTTCCTTCACTAAACTTCTTGAAACATAACCTTTGCTATAGCATTGATGAAAATGTTCACTGTTGCCTTTCTGAAAAACCCATATGAACTATTTCCTTCCCCAATTTTGTCACAGCACCACTCATCATCTTTACAATGGATATAATAAATACATTATTATTATCATTATTATTAAAACCAGCAGTGACGAGCCAGTGCAACATCCAGGGAACCTGGGTGGGTTTCATTTTCCCCCTAGACTTTAATGTTTATTGTATGGCTGCCCAACACAATATTTCAGAAGCCCACACAGTCTGACAAGTCCATGAGCAAACAAGAAATAATGATGATGATGATGATGATGATGATGATGATGATGATGATGATGATGAAGATATTGAGGATATACTCAACCTTGATCTGGACCTAGACTTTCTCCTCTTCTTTTTCTTTGATTTCTTCAGATCATAATCATCATCACTATCTGAATAACGTCCCATTTTTGCCAAGATAGCACCTGTTGAATATACTGGAACAATGAAATGGATATTAGGCTGCAAAACACCTGCCATGACAAACTGCATACATCACGAAGCAGACAACAATTCTTTCTGGAGGCTGGATATACACTAAAGGAGATTAGTACCATTAACAGATTTCTATAAACTGTCACTATTGATCATGTTGATTATTACTAGGCTATTGAATTCACATGTGAAGTGCATCGAAATTTAAAAGTAATCATAACCCAATGATGTGTAGCCCCATAGAATTAGTGTTGGAGTCTGAAACAGGAATTGGGAAAAGACTTCCGCCCGTATCCCCCCCCCTTAAATTACCATTTTGCTTGTGTCTGTATGCACAATGTCATTATAACTTATGTTATGTCTTCTAGTCAAATCATATAACCAAATCATATTTTCCTCATCGTTAAAATTTAGGGGTGATACGGGCGGAAGTCATACCGAGTGAAGTTGACAGCCATGTGTTGATCCACGTACCCGACACTCAGACACTGACAATCTTGGGCGGCATTATATGAATATATCCATTTATTTTTCCGTATTTATTTAATTATACTAGCAAAACTACGCTATAAACACATGTATTTCTTTAAAACATTACCAGAGGTGTGGTTTTACCTTGTTTTAATCGGTCCGCATATCTTTCGTCGTGCCTTCGTTTGTTGATACCCACTCGCAGAGTGTGTGCAATAGAGTTATCTCCCGTGGCGTCGCGGAACAAATTTAGAGTCGCTTATACCACAGCAAAGAGACTTTCCGAAGATGCCTTATCATTCACCAAAGGATCGTGTGATCATTGTAGCTGGAATGATAGAATGTAAGTTACATATGTTCCTTTGCTTGATATTACGGATGCTTTGGGAGAGTCGCTTTGCTATGATGTAAGCGATACTAAAGGTAGTATTTTTATGTCACAAATATGTCATCGTATCCCAATTGCCTAGATCGATGCTCATGCAGTTGATCACTGGATTGTGTGGTCTAGACTTGATTATTTACAGACCGCCGTCATATAGCTGGAATATTGCTGAGTGCGGCGTGAAACTAAACCCACTCACTCATTCCATCTATCATTAAAAGACATGAATATTCTTGGATCATTGCACTGACAGTACCATGTGACGCCATGTTTGTTTAGACTGTGAAAAATCAGCATATGACCTCTCTAATGTGCCTCAATATCCATATATGACCCCAACAGATACTGAAAATATCTGTTGACTTTATCTTGTTGCAAAAGCTATCCATTGTATGTTAAATTGATATCCTGGATGTTCTGATGATGCTGAGTTCTACGTTACGGACTGTGGCATGCACAAACATTCACACGTTCTGATCCGTGTTTCCCTAACTGTTTTTACGGCTTGCTCAACATCAAGGCTATATCCGTGTCAACTGGGACAAAGTTGAACAAGGTGTGAATCGTGCCAAGAAAGAACTACATAAAGAAGCCAACAAGCGGTATCCTGGGATTTTACAAAATGTAAGATAATTGTCATAGTACATGCAGACTCCCTCCTCTCGGCATTGAAAGTTTTGTGGGTGTTGACGTGTAATATAAGACTTGTAGATGACTCAACATGTTCATTGATATATTGCATGGAGTTGATGTTCAAGGGTGGTCACACTCACATGCTTGTTTACCAGTATTGAAGACAAGCTGATGCCCAGGGGATGCCCACGTTGAGGTTCTTTGACGTACAACCGGATATGTTTGTTGATACCTGTGACCTGTGTGTTTCTAAAGTTTCGGTGCAGACTGTACGACATGTAATTAAGAAATGCAGTTCATTCTACCCACATGTATAGTGGAGCAAAGGATACTTTGGCCACCTGTGAAGATCCGGGTTAGAATTGGTCTTCAGCAACCCATGCTTTTAAGAGGCGACTAACAAGATCGGGTGGTCGGGCTCTTTTGACATGTGCCATCGCATCCCAATTGTGTAGATCAATGGTCATGTTGTTGATAACAAGATTGTCTGGTCAAGACTGGATTAATTACAGACCGCCACCATATCGCTCAAATATTGCTGAGTGCGGCGTAAAACAATTAACTAACGACAACACTTTTGCCCAGATATACCATTGGGCTCACTGTGAAGCTCATGCCTGGTGTCCTCTGCCGTGATATACCATTGGGCACACTGTGAAGCCCATGCCTGGTGTCCTCTACCGTGATATACCATTGGGCACACTGTGAAGCCCATGCCTGGTGTCCTCTGCAGTGATATACCATTGGGCTCACTGTGAAGCCCATGCCTGGTGTCCTCTGCAGTGAGATACCATTGGGCACACTGTGAAGCCCATACCTGGTGTCCTCTACCGTGATATACCATTGGGCTCACTGTGAAGCTCATGCCTGGTGTCCTCTACCGTGATATACCATTGGGCACACTGTGAAGCCCATGCCTTGTGTCCTCTGCAGTGATATACCATTGGGCTCACTGTGAAGCTCATGCCTGGTGTCCTCTGAAGTGAGATACCTTTGGGCACACTGTGAAGCCCATGCCTGGTGTCCTCTGCAGTGATATACCATTGGGCTCACTGTGAAGCCCATGCCTGGTGTCCTCTGCAGTGAGATACCATTGGGCACACTGTGAAGCCCATACCTGGTGTCCACTACCGTGATATACCATTGGGCACACTGTGAAGCCCATGCCTTGTGTCCTCTGCAGTGATATACCATTGGGCTCACTGTGAAGCTCATGCCTGGTGTCCTCTGCAGTGGGATACCTTTGGGCACACTGTGAAGCCCATGCCTGGTGTCCTCTGCAGTGATATACCATTGGGCTCACTGTGAAGCCCATGCCTGGTGTCCTCTGCCGTGAGATACCATTGGGCACACTGTGAAGCCCATGCCTGGTGTCCTCTGCAGTGATATACCATTGGGCTCACTGTGAAGCCCATGCCTGGTGTCCTCTGCAGTGAGATACCATTGGGCACACTGTGAAGCCCATGCCTGGTGTCCTCTGCAGTGATATACCATTGGGCTCACTGTGAAGCTCATGCCTGGTGTCCTCTGCCGTGATATACCATTGGGCACACTGTGAAGCCCATGCCTGGTGTCCTCTGCCGTGAGATACCATTGGGCACACTGTGAAGCTCATGCCTGGTGTCTCCCGCCGTGAGATACCATTGGGCACACTGTGAAGCCCATGCCTGGTGTCCTCTACCGTGATATACCATTGGGCACACTGTGAAGCCCATGCCTGGTGTCCTCTGCAGTGATATACCATTGGGCTCACTGTGAAGCCCATGCCTGGTGTCCTCTGCAGTGAGATACCATTGGGCACACTGTGAAGCCCATACCTGGTGTCCTCTACCGTTATATACCATTGGGCTCACTGTGAAGCTCATGCCTGGTGTCCTCTACCGTGATATACCATTGGGCACACTGTGAAGCCCATGCCTTGTGTCCTTTGCAGTGATATACCATTGGGCTCACTGTGAAGCTCATGCCTGGTGTCCTCTGAAGTGAGATACCTTTGGGCACACTGTGAAGCCCATGCCTGGTGTCCTCTGCAGTGATATACCATTGGGCTCACTGTGAAGCCCATGCCTGGTGTCCTCTGCAGTGAGATACCATTGGGCACACTGTGAAGCCCATACCTGGTGTCCACTACCGTGATATACCATTGGGCACACTGTGAAGCCCATGCCTTGTGTCCTCTGCAGTGATATACCATTGGGCTCACTGTGAAGCTCATGCCTGGTGTCCTCTGCAGTGGGATACCTTTGGGCACACTGTGAAGCCCATGCCTGGTGTCCTCTGCAGTGATATACCATTGGGCTCACTGTGAAGCCCATGCCTGGTGTCCTCTGCCGTGAGATACCATTGGGCACACTGTGAAGCCCATGCCTGGTGTCCTCTGCAGTGATATACCATTGGGCTCACTGTGAAGCCCATGCCTGGTGTCCTCTGCAGTGAGATACAATTGGGCACACTGTGAAGCCCATGCCTGGTGTCCTCTGCAGTGATATACCATTGGGCTCACTGTGAAGCTCATGCCTGGTGTCCTCTGCCGTGATATACCATTGGGCACACTGTGAAGCCCATGCCTGGTGTCCTCTGCCGTGAGATACCATTGGGCACACTGTGAAGCTCATGCCTGGTGTCTCCCGCCGTGAGATACCATTGGGCACACTGTGAAGCCCATGCCTGGTGTCCTCTATTGTGATATACCATTGGGCACACTGTGAAGCCCATGCCTGGTGTCCTCTGCCGTGAGATACCATTGGGCACACTGTGAAGCCCATGCCTCATGTCTCCCGCAGTGAGATACCATTGGGCACACTGTGAAGCCCATGCCTTGTGTCCTCTGCAGTGATATACCATTGTGCACACTGTGAAGCCAATGACTGGTGTCTTCTGCCGTGATATACCATTGGGCACACTGTGAAGCCCATGCCTGGTGTCTCCATGTGTGAGATACCATTGGGCACACTGTGAAGCCCATGCCTTGTGTCTCCCGCTGATATACCATTGGGCACACTGTGAAGCCCATGCCTGGTGTCTCCTGCAGTGAGATACCATTGGGCACACTGTGAAGCCCATGCCTTGTGTCTCCCCGCCGATATACCATTGGGAACACTGTGAAGCCCAGACCTTGTGTCTCCCGTGTGAGATACCATTGGGCACATTGTGAAGCCCATGCCTGGTGTCCTCTGCAGTGAGATACCATTGGGCACACTGTGAAGCCCATGCCTTGTGTCTCCCACCGTGAGATACCATTGGGCACATTGTGAAGTCCATGCCTGGTGTCCTCTACCGTGATATACCATTGGGCTCACTGTGAAGCCCATGCCTGGTGTCCTCTGCCGTGAGATACCATTGGGCACACTGTGAAGCCCATGCCAGGTGTCTCCCGCCGTGAGATACCATTGGGCACACTGTGAAGCCCATACCTGGTGTCTCCTGCCGTGATATTGCTGGAATAGTGCAAAGCGCTAAAACCCAACTCACTCACTCACTGAACTACCGTAGTTAAAGATATATGTGACAGTAGGTATAGTGTCCGTATATTACACAAGTATCACACCTGTCTGTGTAATTACATCATGTGACATAGACCGAACTCGGGTGCACAAGCCATAAATCAATGCGTTATATGCCTGATAGGTGTTAAGTTCCAATTGCATGTGGTCAGTGATTGCAGTTGTGTATTGCATATTGTCATTAGCAGACAGGCAGGCAGACACATTTTCACTGCCCATGCGCCATGAGCGCAGTGCAGCACAGCTGTTGAAACTACTTTTCACCCCAGCAAATTTCGGTGTGTGTGTGTGTGTGTGTGTGTTTCATGACGTTATTTTTCAACTTTATAACTTTTTTGCAATTTTTGATCATTTGTTTCTGCAAGTCCATATCGAAAGGTATCAGAATCTGCAAAGTTATGTTTTATGTTGCATATGACCTTTAACCAACTTTTATATATGTAGGACATAAATTCTGCTAAGAACTCACAGAGTTGGTCTGATGTTTTGATTATGATCATTGAGCATTATATGTTTATTAGTTTCCAGTAAGATTCTGATTCATCTATCCGCTTTTGAATGAAACCGACTATACCCATCTAATATTTTTAATAAAATGTTTCGCATTGATAATATAAATGAAATACACAATACCATTTTTTAGAAAGTGGTCAAATGTAACGTATGTTATATTTGGGATTACACTTTCTTAGTAAAGTACAGATTCTAGTACTTTTTTTGGGTGGGGTGGTTTTGAGTC